TAAACTTTTTTTCTATACATTAAATAATATGTTAAAGGAAAGGGGCTCACCGACATTGCACGAACAATTGGCCGCAACTGGCGTTGCAGCGTGACAACACCGAGGCATCTTTTTGGCTCTGTCCGTGTGATCTGAAAACCTCTGCGTTTTTCCCTGGACGTGCGCCATGGCTCAATCGCATGCGGCACCAGCGCAGCCCCCAGCGGCGGAGTTGGTGTGCAAATTATGCAACAGGACGGTAGCTGCGAGTGATGGTCGCCAGCATGGAAGATTTTTTCGCTGTTTGCCATGCGCAAGCATCGAAAGAGCCATGCACAGAAACTTGGGCACTGCAGCTGAGATTGGCACGTGGTCCCATGCCGACCACTCCTTTTTTCAGAAGCTTCACGAAGAAAAGCGTGACAATGGAAACCTGCAGTGGGCCACGATTCGTGCCGTCCTGAAGCGTCGCATGACGGAACGCAAGATCAGCAGCTTCGCATCGACGACAGAAGTGACACCGCTTCCTTTGTCTGTTCTCCTGGCTCAGGGCTGGGAAGAAGAGGTCGTGAAGAAATTTGAATCGGAGAAGAGCGACACGTACGGCGTGGACGTCTACAAAGTGCCAATCACCAAATTCAGCTAGCGGGACATGTTTGAGAGCGTCGAGGAAAAGCTCTTGGAACAGGAGAAAGAGGCGACGAAGCGCCGAGCCGGGAAGAAGAACAAAGAGGATGACTTGGATGTCCCGGAGGCTGCTGCTGCATGTGGAAAAGACCATGACAAGGGAAAGGAAAAGAAGGAGTTGCAAGAGTTGCGCCAGCGTATGACGCATAACGCTAAGGTAGCGTCTAGCGCGGCCAAGGCCATGGGACCTCTTGCAACAGCTGAGACATCCTTGACCAAGCTGTTGGCAAAAGCCGAGGGCAAGGAGGGAGTCGATACGGCCGCGGTTGCCTTGTGCAACGAAAAATTGACTACGATCACAGCCTGGGGCCAGCAGTGTCGTGCGGCAGTGAATGCTCAAGAAAGGAACAAAGGTCAGGCGGCCCAAGAGGCACAGGAACGCCTTGAAGACTTGCCGTTTGATCCATCGGATCTTCGTGCGACCTTGAAACAGATCACGGAAGGGCAGAAAGCGGTGAAGGCTAGCATGCCGAAGGCGGCAGCGGCGCCGAAGAAGCGCGCAGGTGGTGCTGGCATCGCTGCGGGCGATGCCGGAGCGGAGGCACCGGCACCCAAGAGACGCCGAGCCAAAGCGGCACCGTGAAACGCGCAGAGATCTCTAAGAGAGACGTGTCGTGGCAGGACTCTCTAAGAGAGATGTTGAGTGGCAGCAATGACATGGGGTAGTGTCTGGCTAAGGTAGCTGCTTGGTCGAAGCTGAGTTGAATTGTCAACTTGCGCGTCAAAAAGGGATTGGCAGCTGTCGTTCGTCTCACAGATGTTGTCATGTATATATATCTGTTGTCTCTCTATAGAAGAAAAAAAACCTTTGGACTTCATGGACACATGGTAACATTGTCTCTCTCTCTCTCTCTCTGACTCAGTTGTGTCTGAAACATAGACTTATGTTCACTGGGCACACTGTGGGTCTCTGCACGGGACAGTGTGTTCACGAAAACAAATGTTAGAAATCCCGGGGACAACGAGAGAGGACAAAATAAATAAAAAAAACGCATGCAAAAAAGAAATGAAGGAGCGTTTGTCCTGTTACTACCGCAGCGGCTTAAGGAGGACGTAGTGCGTTGAAGATGAAACGACGTAAATTAAGACAGGAGGATGATGCATTGACCCAGTTTCGGGCTTTGAGGCAGTTGCCTCGACTGAGTCAAGCAGACTGCAGGGATGTCATCCAATTGCTGCGTGACGATGAAGTGGGCCGCCGTACAGGAGTTCGAGAGCACCTCGCGTACCCACAGGCGTCCAAGCTGCTGCAAAAGATCATGGCTGGCGAACGCAAGGATGTCCCAGTGCACATGAATTCCTTACCGGACCTTCTGCAGGCGAAGGTAGAGGCATGTCCTCTATTCGCTCGCTTGCTGTCCGATGCGTGGGAAAGGAACGATGGTCAATTGACGCTTGTCGTCTTTTCTGATGACACAACTCCCGGCAACGTATTGGCCCCACGGCAGCCGAAGAAGTCCTGCATGATTCATTGCAGCTTCGTGGAACTAGACGTATTGTTCCTCGATTCTTGCTGGCTGCCGCTGAGCAATATGCGAACCAATGAGATAGCAGAGAGAGGCTTTTCCCATGCGGAATATCTTCGCTGCGTGTTGGAGTCTGTGCACGACGCAGCGCAACATGGCAGTGCCATCACTCTGCGACAAGGTTCCGTATTGCTATGGATTAGGAAGATCGTGGTCTTGGGGGACCATGAAGGCCTACGGGCCTTTGCTGGTTGCAAGGGTGCAGCTGGGCTAAAGCCTTGCTGGCGCTGCGTCAATGTTGTATCAGGTAGCCGCGCCTTGCCGCCGGGCCACGTGCGCTTGGACAACGCGGATGTGTCGCTTCTCCGGGCGCAAACGGATGAAGGTTTACAAGCTGTGCTTGCACACCTACGTGGGTGCAACACAAAAAAAGCCTTACAAGAGGCTGAAAAAATGTTGGGTTGGTCTTTGTCTACCGTGGAAAAAGGGATATTAACATCCCCTTCCCTGTCCGACTGGGTGTCGCTTGAGTGTTTGTATCTGGACTCCATGCACCAATTCTGGTCAAACGGTCTGGTGGGGCAGGACATAGGCCTCTGGTACTCACTGTTGAAACAATGCGGAATGGAGTCGCACTTGCTCCTAAGATGGGCAAGCATCGGGTGGACAACCTTGTTGGGTGGACCAAGTCCTCAAGAATGTTTCAATGAAAAACTTTTCCGCGAGGGAGCGGATTTCCGAGGTGATGCCGATACGACGCTGCAGACGTTGCCGTTACTCGCAGCATTCGCGAGGGAAATGCTGCTGGGACAAGAGGCGATGGCTGCAGCGAACGAAGCGTTGTGGGCATTAGTCGATGTGACCTGCCTGCTGCAACGAACAAAACTGCATCCACGAGATGCAACGCACTTGAATGAAAGCATCGAAAAATACAAGCAAAAGTGGGATGTCGCCTACGCGGCCATCGCAGGGGCAAGGCCCAAATTCCACTACTCATTACACCTCCAAGCCCAAATTCAAAAATACCGTCGACACATCGATTGCTTTGTAGGGGAGCGCAAACATCGTGTGTTTAAGTCCATAGTAGCACCGCGGCTTTCGCGATTGGGGTGCTTTTCTCGAAGTACCCTTTTGCAGTTAACAGAAATCGAATTGACTACGAGTCATCCGGAAAGTGAGTATAGCGGCCGACTGGTGGGCAAGTCCACGCACGACGTGGAGCTGGCCAAGGAACTGGGGCTGCCTCATACCGTTGTCTTTGCCAAAGGCATTCAAATCCATTGTGTCGAGTACTCACGTGGTACCTTTGTGCAAGTCGCAGCCAAGTGCTGCATCGAAGTTGTCTGTGGCCTTCTGCAGGACGATTCTCTTTCCGTAGTGGTGCAGCCCTTGCAACCACGCATCTCCGAACTTTCCATTATCAAATGGGAACGCCTCCCAAAGCAGAGGCACGTCCTTGCAGCAACCAAGTTGCTACTAACTGAACCCATGCGCTTGCTGCGTGAATACCAAAACGGTCTCTGGCTGCTGCGCTAGCAACAAACGCATCGACGGCGGATAAAAATCAGCAAATCTGACTCTGATGTTGTAACAAAAAGCCTTAAATTCCCACAAAAAGTCACACATGATAAAAACGAGAAAAAAACATATGAAACAGTTAGCTTCACTTAGCGGTCACTTAGCTCACACTTAGCGAGACCAAAACCTAAGTGCCAGGTAAGTGCCAGCTAAGTGCCAGCTAAGTGCCTAAGTTGCCCGGCGACTCTTAAGTATATTAAATATTATATATTTTAAATTATACTATTTCTCAAAAAATATATAATAAATAGAATATTATATACTATTTATCAAATATTTTAAATTATACTATATATCATATATTTGATACAATATATTATTATCATGTATTATATTCTAAATCAAATATTCACGTCGCTTCGCGACGGCAACCGCCCGCACCGCATCGTGGGGCAGCTGCTCGTAACTGCCAATGATGTCGGCCATTGAGACCAAAAACATCCGAAAGTACTGATTGTCGGAAAAAAAAACGCGAAGAATTTGATAGCCATGTATAGCGGACCAACGCAGTTCAAAAAATAACGAAAAACATGAAAAAACGGCGAAATTGCTGTTATTTACAGTGTTTTTGCGCGGTGAGAAGCAGAAACCACTGCAAATACCATGGTTTTTGAGGGTCAGGTGACCAAAAACACTGTAATTTACAGTGTTTTTTTAACCAACGTCAAAAAAAAATGGTATTTACGATGTTTTCATTCACACCGTAACATAAAACAGCGTAATTTACGAGGCTTTTGGAAGTTTTGAAGCTAGCCGTCAAGCATGCAGAAAACAGAAAAACATTGTAAAAACCAGTGTTTCTGCTATCACAAAACGACGAAAATCAGTCCTGAAAACGGGAACAGATGTTGCAAACCAAAAAATTGAGGTCAAAAAGTTGAAAAACACGTGTTTTTTTCACTTTTCGCTTGCCGATTTTGGACGGGCGCGTTCACGAACAGGTGTCTTCCGTACTGTTTTTTACAGTGTTTTTTGAAGGCGAGCGTCACGACCTATCAAAAACAGGAGGTTTTGGCCGAAAAATGCCCCCCCCCCCCGGTAAACCTGTAACCTTTTACGAGTGCCATCCGGAAGATCACGCCCCAGCACCTTCGGTGCGGGCGGATTTTATATTAAATATCAAATATCATATGTTATAAATTATATATCATATATTTTATATAATAAATCAAATATCATATTTTTACTTTATACCATATCTTAAATATTATATATTATGTATTATATATTAAAATAAAATATAATACTTTATTTTATTATTTTATATTATATTACGTTATGTTGTATTATATTATATATAGCTTCTCTTTGAAGACATGCAACAAGTATGCCGATGTCCATGATATGATGTCACGGCTGTACACCTAGCAAAGCTTTACAGTACCGCGAACCATTGCCGAGAAGCTGGTTCAACAAGTCGTGCTGACGAAGGGCTGTCTCCAAATCCCATTTTCCTCATTTGTTCACACAATTATGAGGGCAGGCAGCAGCGAGATCACAACAAGAAGAGGTAGGTTGCACACGAATCTCAATGGTTGGCATGGTTTGTATGGTTTGTGTCAGTAACATTCAAACTGCTTGTCCTATAGTCACCTGCTTAGTGCAGTGTCATGCGGTTTCACTAACAAGGTCTCTGAGAAACAGTGAAGCATTGCTTTGAAAACAACCAACTTGAGATGTATGTCACCATCAACTTTAAATTTATATACTTGAACTGTAAGATTCAAGGTTTGAGACTGGTGGTAGTAAACGTTTTTTTCAGAATCAATTCAATTATGACTCTTATGAGGCAGTCAAAGTTTCAGTGGTTTTACATAGCCAGATGAGACCCCGACCTGACCCAATTTCCATCATTTTTCATGGCCAGTGACCCTTGGACAAAAGCTCGTAGGCCTCCCGAGTGCTGCAGCCCAAGACATCTTTAACTCCTCGAAGTAGACTTGCTCTTCCACCTCTCAGGGCAGGCGCACTACAGTGCAATGTTTGTGTATTTCAAACTCTGTTTGTTTAGACACAAGTTGATCACGAAACTGCCAGGAATGATGTGCTTGCAGCCTTTCCCTCACAGAAAACTGATGTTGGGGGCTTGAGGATTCTTGCAGTTGACTCAGAAAACATTTTTCGGCATCGAGCTATGAGGACAAGAACTACAGTAGACGGACAAATTATTCAAACCCCTCATCCATGAGTTGTAGGCTACCCCCTGTCCCCCAAATTTCAACGTTATGGTTTCGTATCTTTGTTCCTGATCCTAGGGTTTGATTTATTTCGTCCATTCGAAGGAGCGAACCAAACCAAAAAAACAACTTTGTAATTGGGGGCGCGGGGGGTTACTGGATTACAAGGGTTTGAATAATTCGTCCATCTACGGTTTGGGGAGTGGTGCTCAGCAGGAGCGCAGAGAATGTGAAGGGTAATTTTTCCTACAGTAGTTTGTATTTTGTTTTTTATGTTCCGTGATACGTTGTCTTTACGCGCGCTTTTCTGGTTCAGTTCCGGCCTTCTTCCATTTCCTTTCCTTAGGCATGATTGCAATTCCTGTGTTTTTCCAACTCCCTTTCTTGGGCGTGATTGAAAATGCTGTGTTTTTCCAGTTCCCTTTCCCGGGCGTGATTGAAAATGCTGTGTGTTTCCAGTTCCCTTTCCCGGGCGTGACTGAAAATGCTGTGTTTTTCCAGTTCCTTTTCTTCAGCGTGTACGAAATCCTGTGTTTTTCCAGTTCCCTTTCCGTTTCCCAGTTCCCTTCCAGTTCCCTTCCCAGTTCCCTTCGCGGATTCCCTGTGTTTTTCCAAGGAACGTGCGTTGCAGATTTTTTTCTTTAAAAAAAGAAAACATTTTGTTTTTTTCTTTGAAACAAATGCCATTTTCGTGACCTCCCCCGCCCACACTGATTTAATAGGGGAAATTCCACGGGGGATGGTTGGATTGAGGTTGTGAGGCTATGGCAAAATCCAAGGTAGGGCTAAAATATGCCAAAATCGTCCGCTCCAGTTCGGGGGCTTCAGCCCATTCAAATGCTCGAAAGGGGATTGCGAAAGATTGCCTCTCTAGAAAATCAAGGACCACTAGAAAATCTATGAACGTACTCCCAGAGATGCTAAAATTATGCTTCAGGATTTTGGGCACCTAAACTCTTCAGAAAATCAGCATCTTACGACTCAGAGGTTTCCAAAAGTTGGTCTTTAGAAAATTGGAGGAACTTCGAAAGCATCATTTCAGCAAATTCGAGCTTTTCGAAGGACAGAAAATCAACCCCCTCTGAAATCCTAGAGGAAACTCATAACGGTATGGTGACAGCATGTGACACACCTCGGAGGTAATCTTCACAAAGTTCAAAGAGCCATGGAAGTAGAATCGCCGCCAAAAATGCCATGGACATGGGCTTCTGCGCCAGTACTAGCTGTTGCAAAGTGGCACTCTGCGTTGCTATTTGCTTCGATTGGTTCTCATGCATCAGGAACCGAACCGAGTCCAAAAGTCCATCCCAAGCGCAAGGATCTGTAGAAGACCCTTTGAATGAAACTAAAAGGTCAGCAAAGCTCGCTGTGGTAAGTCGCTGTGAAGCAGCTAAATCCAAGGCAGCATCCCGAAAGCTGGACACCTCCACCGCTATGCCTTCTTCATTTCTTTGCTCGCGACCGGCACCGGCACCGGCCAAGCGTTTTTGAAGTTCATGCATCGCTTGCCAAAAGCAAGGAAAGTACACCACTGCAGAGGTAGTGGTCCCAGTGGTGTCGGAAGGTGATTCTGCATGCGATGCATCTCCTTTGCGTTTCCCTCCGTTGGGTTCAAAAACGAAGCCTTCATCTACTTGTAGCATTTGTACGAGCACTGGCACTTGGACATTGTCGTCTACTCTTAAAAGCTGCAAGGCTTTTCGTTGCAAACACCGCTGCGCACCGGACTCGGCGATTAGATTGCCCACCATGGAAATCGCGGCATCCAGACATTCCGCCTGAAATCGGAGCTTGTGGACTTGTGGAATCCGACATAATCCGACCATCAAACATCCCACTGATATCCACTGATGATACCCTGTTTCAGATTGATTGCACAGCTATCTGAAAGTGCCACAGCTAAGAATCGCACCCGGAAGACTGCTCCATCCGGTTGTAGGCTTCGCCATTGCTGAAGAACCTCAGCTTCAAGAAGCTGCAAGCTGTTGGTGGAATCAGCACTGATATCTGGTAGAACGATGTAGAACGTAATATGTTGATTCAACGTAAGAGAATATGGGTATGGGTCAATACCTATTGATACCATTTTTAGGGGAATGAACATCCATTTACCAGCTATTTTGATGTTCACCAGGGGTACAAGGTTTTGACACACTGCCATATCAGTCTCAAGTAGTTTCAACATGTTACAACACATTCCTGATCTGCCAATATGTGCCATCCAAATCGTGCCAATCTCTGGGATCCTGAGCAAGCTCAATGTCTTCCATCCCGGCACCTCAGCCGATGCAGGCTGTGGCTGCAGTGTCTCAAAATGGCATGCCCCTAAAAATGCTTCGTCATCATGGTCCGTATCAAAATGGCAATCTGGGTTCACTATGGACTCCATTTTCGGACACACCCACATTAGTCTTAGTTTTTCTATCCGCAAGGCAAGGCTTTTGCTCTCTTCCTTAGTCGTCGGAGTACATCACTTATGACAATGGATCTGGCAAGCGATCTTGAAGCACCAAAGACTGATCATTTGTGCGTCTAGCTACAGAAAAGAACACTTCCATCACCAACAGGGTGGAACCCTATGCATGCCCTGTGATTTCATCTATAATTAGCTCTGAAATTGGTGATAATATGTGAGAATCAACAGGTAAAATATGGTAAAATCAAATAAACTTGTCTGAAGTAGTGATATACTGAGACACAAGAGATCCGCAATCCAGGGGCCCCAGGATGTCCCAGGGGTAGAGTGTGCACGGCAAAGGCCAAGAAGCAAATTTACCGCGCGAAATAAGAAGGAAGTTCTAGGATTCTAGACATGAATGAGCTGAGAGAAAAGCTGCGGTCAAGCAAATCTGTGAAGCAAGGTACGCATAGCCACAGCCAATGGCATCCAAGTTTCAGGATGTTTCAGGTAGATGGTGCTATAATAGACGCTTCAATCCAGGATGCTGTAGATATTTCATTTCGCACAGAAATTGTAAAAAAAATTGTAAATATGTTGCTTCTCGTACAATCTTTACTTGTCATAGTTTGCCGCTCGAGACGACATCATGCCGAGCCGGATTGAATCTCCTCCAGTTAAATGCCTGCAATCACTGTTTGGTCGAACAATACTGCTATCATTATATAAATGAATCATACTCCCAGCCAGGGAGTAGACCTCCCTAAAGTACACTATTACAATATATTATAATCTATTATAAGCTATTTCATAACTAATCAACCTGGGTCAACTGGTCACTGCCGATTTCCGGAGCCCGCCTCTATCCTGGAGGAGTTCACATGCTCAGGCTGTGCAAATGTAGGGCGTTTCTCTCGTGGCAGCTGTGCCACCTTGGCATGAAAATGCATAAATGTTCATAAAATCGGTGATCATCCTCTGAATTACATAGCTAGGTACCTCCAGGCACTTTTGTTAGGAAAATCCAGTGTGGATTTTGTTATCAATAGTAGATTGATGTAGATTGCGAATGATTGTTAGATCTTTAACTTGTTCAAGGAACACAAGCTCAACAAGCTCAAATAGATTCTGTCCAAAGCGTACCCATGCCGAAAGGATTTTCGCATGATCCGCGTGACAGTTCCTTTGCTTTCGAGCAGCTCCAAAAGCAAGTGATGGAGGATGGTCATCACTCACAAAAAGAATGTCAAATGTCTATATGGAGGTTTCCTAAAATGGGATAAGCCAAATCATCGAGCATATCAGTATTGAAACCCATGGTCTTGGGGTAACCCCACCCCCATTTTAGGAAATCCCCATATGTAACGCACTCTGGTACCCTAGTGAACATCCAAACCAATATCTTGGGATAGGTCAAAAACAATCAAAAATCATGGTGATATGCCCACCACTGCGAACTGAGACTAATGCTGCAGGTGATCCTGCTCTGTGCAGTGAGTCAGACACAAAGGCAGCCTGCAGACCATCAAATAGGCTGCCCTTTGCAGTGCCACATCTGAATCCGCCCAAAAGGAATACAACATGGGTCGATTGCAACTTACAACTTACATTGATTCAGATTCATGATATTTCTACATTTGGACAGGGCATCATGCAGGAGGAAGCATGATGTAATAGTTTTACTCTAACAGTCTTAAGGTGTTCGGTTGCCGGAGGGCATTCCGCGGCATTTCTCTTTGCTGTTGCCGAAGCCATGAACCAAATGCGACAACAAAACCCTGGAAGAGACTCTTTCTATGTTGATGCACTTGGGTTTATCATGGTTTATCATCAAGTGAATTCCATACCTGTTACCTCCAACGCTGCTTCTTTTTCCCGAAAGACTGGCATTTGAGACCAACATCGTCTGCAATCCTCTCGGAAACTCATCACTACTAAGCTGAAAGTGAAAAGTGAAGAATTCATTCTAAATATTTTTTAAATGAATCCACTTCCACAGGAACGAGGCAACTCTATTTACAATGTCCCAGTCGGATCCCAGTATTCCACTCCAGAGGCCTGAAACACTGGGACAAAAAATCAGCGTGTATCCTTTGGCTGAACCGGTCGAGTTTAGATAGTTTAGATACTTTAGATATAGATTCTACGAGGAGATTCTAGAAGCTTCGCTACACAATTCAGCCCGAACTTCTGCAAAGTGTGCATTGAGACTTGGGCGAATGAATTAGCAGAGGCTGCTTTCAGTTGGGGCTTGGTGGCGTTGTCGGAAGCCGGTAATGCGTTTTGTGGAAAGGGTGATCAAAGAAGGTCACCTCGGCTGCACTGAAATGTTCGGACTTTCTATGGCAATGGGCCTTCAGTGTGAATCAAATTGTGCGGTCCCCGGATGTTCGTCATTTTGAGGATCGAACTTACTAAACAGGTCTCAACCAAGAACAAAAACATCTTATTTCAAAGTGCACCCAATATCTCTTCAAACCCCTATCAGGAGAATGAAGTTCAGCAGGCAGCAATGGCAGGCAGCAATTGGAGCCAATAGCTGCATAGCTTTGATGAGATTAAGTCATACCTTCCAGTCTATCCTACTCCATCCTGCTCCATCATGATTTGGCTCAACCCCTATGGTTTGAACTGCCCTGGCACATCAGTTCCCTTGGCATCTGACTTGACTTGGCTCGATGTGAGTCAGAGCCTGAGTGACCACCTGCCAGGTCCAGTGGCAATGCTGGCTGGGCATCTTCTAGTGGTAATTTCTGGTTCGGGATGGTTAGGGATTGCCTGAGAATACGGTGCCTGAGAGAGGTAATTTTTGGTTTATCACGTTCCTTCTTAAATTGCAATTTGGGAATAATATATATATATAATTATATATATATAATATTATATATATATAATATTATATATATAATATATAATATTATATAATACCTCATCCCATTTTAAGACACATGGTAAAAGCATCGAAAGGCAAAATCGATTAGCCAGAGATTATGCCGGAAATCCAATGCATCATGGCCGTGGACAGAGTGACGCCACAACATCAAGATCTGATTTTGGAAGACCATTGAATGCATGAGTCAAAAGGGGTCTTAGATGAGAATTTCTGCGACAATGTAAAGATAAGTCAAGTCATTGATATATTGATATAAAATGATATAAAGTCAATATTTTGAGCCGCAAAAAGATAGTTTCAAGACATTCGGGCGCAAAAAGCATTCTTTTTTTGATGCACTCCGAAGCTAGCGATGATAGGAAAATGATCCGATGGCGGCAGGCCATCCTTCAACGTAGTATCTACCTGGAAGTCAAGGACTTTCAAAGGTCCGCGCCAGAGAATCCAATCAATGTGCCCATGGATCATCCCATGGCGAAAGGTTGAAGGACATTTTGCGTGCAAGGCAGAGGCGGCAGCTGGTTTGTAGCCATGGAAGGTTGAGAAAGGTGTTTCATCTCGGGCACCAAACTCACTACAAGCATCTCGGAAGCCAAAAGAACGAAACACTGCGAAAGGTGGTTCAGGTACTCCACGGCTATTCCGTTGGAGGCTATTGAAATCTCCCGCCACGATGGTCGCGAGGTGTTCGCATGTCGCAGGTGGGATCTTCTCAAGTTCATCCAGGACATGTATTATGAGTTCAGATCCTAGGCGTCGTGCTCTTGAAGAAACATGGTCAAGATGCGTGTTCAAGAACAGAACACATTGTGCCGAGTCAGAATTCCCCGTTGTCTGCACTTCATCCAGTCGAAACCAGGCATAGGTGGCGATTCTTGGACAGCCACTTCCCCAGGATCTGGAACCAATGCATGACGGTGTTTCCGATAGAGCGAAGGTTGATTGCATCACAGCTTCCAATGATGAGCGAGAAAAAATGGCACAATGCTCACCACAAGGCACGCATCCCAAAAATCGATCACGAGGTGATCCGCAGGAGGAGTAGTTCATACCTATTTGCGCCAAAGCTTGTTTCAGTTGGTGCAGTTGATGGAGCAGTCCTTCTTGCGTTCCAATGATGTCCGGTTGATGTTTCATGATTTGATCTACAACGGCAGGTAGCCTCTTATCCCAGCCATAGCCGTGCTTCTTGTCGGCATCATTGTCATAACGAAGGTTGAAGGACATGACTTTCAGCAAGGGTGAAGCTCTCACTTTTGGCCAGAGGAGACTGGCTGGATACCCACACCGTCCATAAATGGCACACAGCCATATCACTGCGAGAATAGGCACCCAAGCTTTTCTACTCCGCGGCGTTGAGCTGGAGACCTTGTCGGATGGCTCCATCTAATCTTGGTTCGGCCGAGGGTTCTGGCAAGTCTACAAGATTGTCTAAGGCTGTCACAACCCTGCTCCTGTCACATGAACCGTATGAGCTGATGCCTGGTAATTAGCCAACAACTAGAATGCGATGACTAGGCAAAACAAAGTCTGCCAGGCATCTCAAGAATAACCTGTTTCGGGGTAGCAGAATTCCACGTCCGTCCCTTGATACAAACACCAGCGGCTTGACATACGAGCAGCTCGAGACAATGTGAATGTGAACTAGGAACCTTTTATTGCAACCTTTCACATCTGGTCACAATCTTGTTGATCGTGACAAAAGCAGCACAACTGCTCCTCAAGTCAGTCCCGACCTTGCCTGCTTCATCCTTCTGAACCAGGCGCGGAAAACAGAAGCATGTATGCCTCGGTGGAGCATCCCAACACATGTCAAAATCATTCCACAATCTTGCACCCTTCTTCAATATTGTGCAAATCTGTGATGATTTAGGTGATTTAGGGTATATACTACACTGCAGACCGCGATTTACAGGTGTAATTTTCCCACATGCCAACCATATCCAGACTCAGGGCCAGGCTCCAAAAGCATAGGAGCATCATCGATGCGGCTGCCACCTGCAGAAAGGTCTCAGGGCCATAAGGTGCTTCTGTTGCTGCTGATGTGATTTGTTTTCGTTTTCTTATGTTTCTTCATAATTCAGCTTCTTCAACCTCTTCTTCATGCTCTTCGACATAATCGTCATCATCGTCATCGTCATCGTCATCGTCGTCATCATCGTCGTCGTCATCATCATCATCATCATCATAATCATGCAGTCAAGCATCATTGATTCGATTGATTATCCAGGTTTCTGCTGTCATGGCCGTGGTAACATCGTTGAACGCCATCTTGACATTTTAGTGTTGAACTTGAGAAATTCAAAAAGAGGAAAGAGTACATACACCCAGAAACTTGAGGATTTCGCTTCCAGAATCCTGACAGCAACAGACTCGCAATGAGTCGCTGTCTCACCCAACCTGCAGTGAAACAGTGCCCTCGTGACAGCGAGTTCCCGCCAGTAGTTCTTGAAATTGACACAGGACCGATGACTCCTGAGGACCTTCGGCTGATTTCGGCTGTCCGCGGTGGGAAAGGTATGGAGTCTGGATCGAGTCAGATGCGTCTGAACAGGTCATGCAAAGAGAAAATTGTAGATACCGAAAGATCTTAGAACGATAATGAATGATATTACATTATATCATATACAATATATGTGAGAATAAATGATATGAAATTACCTAATATGATGTAGTTTCACTGCCTGACTTTCTAAACAGCCCAATTGGTCACCCTCAACTGCAGGCCTTGTCGACGGGGCGCAGGGAAGGGGAACGATCTGCTTCTGCAACCTGCCCATCCACGCAACTTCATCAACATGGGCGAGTTTCTGTGGGGAAACTCAGCTGGTTGGGACACACCAAAAAAGATAGAAACCTAATTTATTTTAATTTATCACCATTTTAGTGGGATGTTGCTTTTCTATCTTTTTGGGGCTTGCTATACCATACTGCATCCCAAAAAAACAGACACGCGCATTGATCAAGCCTTCCACATGCAACATCCGAGGCATGGCATAGTGTAAGTAGCTGCACACCACCAACACGACCTGTCAGCTGCTCGTGTAATCAAGGATATAGGAAACGCATAGAAACGCATCAATGTCCTTCCATTGAATACAGCAAATGCATCTGAGATTCTGCTTAAACTTTCCATGTTCGTTTAGACTTTAGACCTTGTGTCATTTCAGAAAATGAGCTCATCAACAACGGAGAAGTTCAGGCCTGTCCCAAACACGCCATCGTCCAGAGGACCTGCAGCTGTTTCATGTTAAACACGGCTGTTTCCATATCAACGTCAACATATGCAAACCAAGTGTTTAGCACTGTGAGTGTTTGAAGATGTTTGAAGAGTCCCAAATTTACGGAGTCAATTTTCTTGCCATTGGCAAAAAGGGAAAGCCCGAACATTTGGCGCAAGGCTCGTGACATTCTGCCAATGGTTTCTTGCCAAACTTCAGGCAAAGTGTAGAGATTTAGTGGAGATTTAGGTATGGGTCAAAATTAGGTACCCCAATAATTGGATGGTTAATACTACACTAGACTAACATCTGTGGTCCCCTAGGTCTTCTATTTTGACCCACATCCATTTTATACGGCCAAACATACAAGACCTTCACCATACGAGCAAACCCCATCAGATTGATGGCACCACTGGCACCGGCGTTGCGTCTAGCCTGAGACGTTCCATCACGAGCACAGGAGACACTGTTCCGGACAACTGAGAAGTCGATCAGGGTGGCCATCTGTCACAGGATGTCACAGGTTGCTCAATGGACAAAGCAAAATCAACGCTGACCGGTTGGTGAGCCGCCCGAGCACCCCAGGCAGGTAGAAAAACCGTTGACACATTTTGAAACCACCAGATGATGGCCCTGAGTGCTTTGTTGCAATTGGATTTCGAGCATTTCCAATTACTAGTACCTTCTGCAATAGCGATCTCAAGAAGCTACTTCTGCAAAAATGAGCTAGACTGCTGAGAGGATATCTGTGCTCAACACTGGAAACACAAACTCTTTCTGCCTCGAGGGAAAGCCAAAGTGCCACAGACCCTCGCTCCAACCTGGGGTCAGTTGCCAAGGGCAAAACGAAGCAATACTAAAACATGAGATAAATCAAGACATCATTCAAATGGGTATGGATCAATACCTATTAATACCATTTTTAGGGGGATGAACATCCATTTACCAGCTATTTTGATGTTCACCAGGGGTACAAGGTTTTGACACACTGCCAAATGGGTTTTACTGAAAAACAGGTGACAGGACGTTGCAAACGTTGCATGTACATGCATGTACATCAAATTATGATGTATCCCACATGATCTACTCCATAGATCTCCATAGTGCCCAACCTTTCTTCTGACCTTTTTGTCCAGATTGTCTCTTTCATCCTGTTGTGTTCACCTCTTTCTCAACTGATTCCAACGTATGATTCAATAGCTGACCATAAAACTGCTGTGATAGCACCGGTGTGCCGGGACTCTTGCCACTGTGCCAAGCCATCTCCGTCACCCTTGGCGACGTTGGCCTCAGGCTGCGATCTGGGTGCGGAAACAGGCCTTTCCACAATCTTTGGTGAATTTTCGAGAATGAGTATTGAATTTTCTTCAAAAAGATCTTGGTATTGAAAGGATGAGAAGGCCAGCGGCACCAAGTGGTATCAAGTCCATAGATGTGCTGACAAATAAATCGAGCAAGATTCAAGCATATTCAACCATCAGGCTACCTTTCATTCTTTCAGGCTTCCAACAAGTCACATCAATGGTACCAGGCAGTATGGACAACACTGCCTCGCCCCAATCCCGGTAAATCCAAGAACTGGGCAGCAAATGTGCAAGTGATTCTGATGGCCAAGCACACAATGAACATTGCCTGGCAAACGCAGCAAGTTGCTAAGGACAGGGCTTAGATTATTTCAATATATTTGGGGATGGGCCTGGGTCAAAACGCTGTACCCCTGGTGAACATCAAAATAACTGGTAAATGGATGTTAATCCCCTAACAAATTTGTATCATTTTGTATCTATAGTTATTGATCCATCTGCGAGCTCTGGCCACAACTGCACAACCAAACCAGTCTGCGTCATGTGCTGGTGAACTTGCATCGATGGACTGTGCCCTGTACCATCAACCATTGTAGATCAATTTTTCTCAAGTCTCTTGCAGGGCTGCGAATGAAAAGTACTAGTAGCTCATGAAACTGGCGATGATGAGAGTCCTTGTCCTCTGCCTATCACTCAGATTTGGTTTAATCCTGATTGTATTTGACACACCTTGACACCATGTCATGACATATCTTATATCTTGACACCGTATCGTCCCAAACGATATGCAGAGCGTACCATTTGCACCGTTCCATGTTGCAGGCGACGCCGTCGCAAGTCTTTTACCTTGGACATTGCCTAATTAGATGATCAATCAGGGGGGACCATCAAACGGTCATAGTCTATCAAACAAATCAGAGGCTTAATGGTTATATTTTCTTTTCCTGATAGTTGTTTCAGACCGTTCTTGAACAATTTGAAAGGTGTAGACTGCTATAGACTTTCAAGTTTGGGAAGGCACGAAGATCTTGATATGTCACAAAAACGAACAAGAGTGCACATGTATGTGCGAAGAGGTGCTGTCCGTGACTGAGCGTTTGGCAGCTTCATGCAAGAGCAAGGCCATGCATGGAACCTTGGAGTTTAGCAATTCAGCAGCTTCACTTGACAAATCAGCAGCGTTGACATCCCAATGACCGTCATGACCTCCAAGGGACCAGTGAAGCAGCCACGACCATCCCAATGGACGCAAGCCAAAGAAAGAACACAGCTGCAAACCTGGTCTTGACATGTCGCGGAGGTTGTTGACAATGGAAACGCAAAAAAAAAACGCAACGAGGTCCAAACTAGCTGACTTCTTAAATTCAAACATACCCAAAATATCATCCACTGCAAGAATCCCTATATCCTTAGATAATTACATGTATAATCATGTTAAACAATGTTATACATATTATTCAAATATGATAATATATGATACTACATGATACTACAAATAGTATACACTACATCATACAATCCTTTTTCCGTTTTTCGAATCACCATCCAGTCCGAGGCACGGTAAAAAGTCTCCCGTCAAACTCACTGCTGCCTGTAAGACGCGGCAAAAGGCCTGGCGTCCGCAGCGCTCCTGGGAAGAACGGGGCAATGGCTTCGATGGGAAAAGAAGGAGGATGTTCCATATAGCATGCCTTTATATAAACATATACAATATCACTATCTATCTATCTATCTATCTATATATATATATACTATAATGATGATATATAAGACATATAATAATATATATATATATTGTATGTATATATATAATATGGCATTCTGGTGCATTCCGTATATTGGTATGTATATATATATTATATATAAATATATATATACATTATACAACCTATACAAGACCATCTGACAAATAAACGATAAGCTTGGTTGTTGCTCCTCACGAGGTACCCTGAGGAAGGCCAAGATCAAGGTGTCCATCAGCAGTGTGTGCCCTGTGCCATGCAGTCCGTGTGCCACTGAAGTGTTTGGATGTGAGATTCTGTCTTGAAGCTTGGTTCTCCAAGGATCAAGACAATGTCGGATTTTAGAACATATCATATAATATTGTTCCAAATGCAAAGCGCATCCACGGGCCCATGGGTTCAAACAAATATGGATAGCCATATTGAAACATGTCAGATTCATTTCACGTCTTGATATGACCTGTACTGGACACCATTGGACCGCCATTGCTCACGCGTACCTAAAGCACTCCATGCATAGAGCGGGGCCATCTTCTTCACAGCAGGGAAGACCCAAATGATCTCATGCAAGAAAACCAGGACACAGCCTCAGCTGATCTGAATCGACACGTCCGATGGATGGAAGTTACATAAGGTATGTCAAGGACTGGACTTTACTGCCTTCAGAGAATGAGAAGAAGTGCAACAATCTTGTATATATAATATTCTATAATTATAACTAATTATATATATACAGTATAGCATTGTGCAGATTATTGCACACGTCCATTGTCTCATTGCTGACCCAAATTCTGTATGAAGTGACGATCATGTTTGCAAACAGCAAGAGAACAGCGGTTCGAAACTTTTAAGGCCCCGGCCACCAATTTTCACCGTACACACTTTGATCATGAGTTCCTTGAAGAGACAGAAAGACGGGGGTCTGAAAATGGGACCTCCCCCCAAATGACAATTTTAGTAGGGTAAATGGTGATATATGGTTGATTATTGGTGATTAACCTGCAAATTTTGGGGGTATCCTATGTTCAAAACCCATTTGATCTCTGAAATGTCAAGTGCTGGGATACATTGTTTTTTTTAAGCAGCTGATCCACAGACCATCATTGGCTGCCGCATGCTGCCGCCCTTGTGCCTCACCCAAGAGCACAGGACGATGAGAGCGGAAGAAGTTCAGTGCCACCATCAAGGTCACAATGGCAACCACCTTTCAGCCAGGTTCTCGATGCGTGGGTGGTTGCCATAGCATGTACCCCTCCTTGTTGTAGGTTTTGTTATGTCATATGTAGTTGTCAAAAAAAAATGGCACCCTATTCCATACCAGGGGGTTGTCATATTCCCAATCGTGTCTATAGTTTTGGGTATTATTTGAACATATTTCAAATCCTGACCTGATAATCTGATATCTGTTAGCATTTGAATGTGTACATATTATATATAATGTATATTATGTTGCACATCTACATATTATATTCTACATCATTATACTATATTACATTATATTACATTATGATATAGTGTGATGTAATTAATTATATAATATTATATAATTAATATATCGAATCTTTAAATATCTTGAAATGACCATGTCCACTGCCAGGCGCATCCCCCAATGGCCACCGTTCGTTGTTGTGCACATTGAGTGAAGGTCTGGCAGAAGTTCAGAAAGGCCGGTGCCCTGAGATGCCGTTTCGCGATTGGCCAGCGATGGCGAAAATGAATGAAGATACCATGATAAAACATGGGGTCCCACATGATAAAACCCAATTTAAATGGATGGATTTGGGGTATCCATGTTTGGACAAACCATGACAAACCACTCTATATAATTCATTATAATTTTAATTCATCATCTACAGAAGTTCATTCGATTTGCATTCATGTGCAGTATGTGTGATCCTACTTGTATATGAGCGGCTGTCTCAACTCTAGGCCCCCAGCTGTGACTGTGGACTTGAGAAAAGATGACTCACTCGTCCTGGCTACCAATCGCAGCGGGTTTTTTGCATCAAGATTCACGGACTCAGAGCCAACATCCCATGCGACGTACCCATATTACCCATCGCGTCTGAGGTTCGCACCTACGTTGCGCCAGCCGGCTAGAAGAAGTTTTCCAGCCAGTTGCATGCCCTGAAAAGCCAACTGAATCAAGGAAGCCGAAGCTTTTGGAGATACTGTGTGACTTTGACAGACAGGGATGGTTCAAAAATAAAGACCCAAAACGACATAAAAGGATTGTGGAATGTGACCATCTATATTCTATATTATGACCAAAAGCAAGCCACTTTTGATGTAGCTGGACCTACTCTTCACTGATACCCACATGATATGTTTTGATATCCATGATATCCATGATATCCCAATGTGGGTGCGTGTGGGTGTTACTCTTTTGGTCAACATAGTTGACTTGGCAACAGCCTGTTGACCCAGCGTCCCCGTCCAGACCTGCCATGTGGAGCCAAGTTGAGCTGACCACAGCAAGACCTCGGGAGCCATAATCACAAAGATGTGAAATGTGCATTAGATAGCGTGTGAACCTGAAAAATGTGATATGACTGCGATCTGAAGAAGAAATCACAAGTCCTCGCTTCGCAGTAGTTTTGTCGCTGCCCATACTGCTGAGATCTCATGTTGTGGCTGCAACCATTTCCATGTCTCTGAGGTCGCGACAGATGCTAACAACACAAAAAGGACCTGGAAACGTGTGGCCATTGTTAGCCGACACGCCAGACCTGAACGGCAAAGCCTCGGCAAAGGGCTGACCACTGACCATTGCTGAACTCTCCTGATTAGGCTGCTAACTTGGAAACTAGCTAATCGCAGCTAATCGCAGCTAATCATAGCTTCTTTTTTTTTGAGGACGCAACCGCTGCTGAAAATTGCAAAATGAAAACTACCCTGCATCCACGCGATGTATGGACGCGGTGAAGGCGATGGAATTCTTAATGTTCAAACAATAGCTGGTGTGAGATGCCTTTGGCACCTTTTCTTGATGATTTTGGACCGCATCTCAGGAGAAAAAACTGTCCAGCTCAGACAATTTCTCCAAGGGGATGTCGCATTGCTTCTTCTCATCTGGCGTGTCAGCAGCGCATCGCAAATCCTTAATGCGCACCTCACCTTTCTCCCATTCATCCGGCGCCACGAAGGCAATTTTGGCGGCGCCCACCTTGTCGGCGTAGCGGAAAGCTTTCTTGACCTTCCGCCCGGGCTCCGGATAGACATCCACGCTTTTGCCCGTCAGCCGCAGGCGTCGGGCCACGTTCATGGCCTTGCCCATCATATCGGCATTGTATGCAGCCACCACCATGTCCACATTTGCTCCCAGATCAGGAAGCACGTTTCTTTCCTTCAAGAGTTCCATGACGACACAGTCACCAAACCCAAAGCCCACGCAGGGCACTTCCTTTTTGGATCCGTACAACTCCAGCAATTTGTCATAGCGCCCGCCACCGCACACGGCCCGAAGCACACCGGCACGGTCAAAGCCTTCAAAGACCACGCCGGTGTAGTAAGCCAAACCCCGCACCACGGATGCATCGAACTGCAGCCAGTCTGCAAAGCCATAATCTTCTGCCAGTGCAAAAAGTCTACGCAGCTCTTCAACCTCCGAGCTCTCACCCACACCAGCGATGTCGGCGAACTCCTCCAGCGTCTTGGCTCCAGTGGCGGCCACGATGGTATCTGACACCTCTGGAGAGAGGCCCACCAACTTGGCCAGGTCTTTCTTCACAGCATCGGCACCAATCTTGTCCAACTTGTCGATGATGACGCAGGTTTCTGCAAACTTTTCAGAAGGCACTCCTGCGGCATTGAGCACGGCTGCCAAGACCTTCCGCGAGTTGATTTTCAGCCCCACATCTTTGGATGTGATCCCAACGCTCTCAAAGAAGGAGACCACTGCCGAGAGCAATTCCGCCTCAGCAGTTACTGCGGACACACCCACGATGTCCATGTTCCACTGGTAGTGTTCTCGTTTCCTTCCTCTCTGTGTTGTTTCAAATCGCCAGCACTGTGGGATTGAGTACCACTTCAACGGCAACACTGCCGCAATAGCGCCTGTTTCTGCCCGCATCAACGACAGAACCATGCGCGCCAATGAAGGCGTCATTTCGGGCCGCAAAGTCACGGCCGCACCTTCCTTATCTCGGAAGTTGTACATCTGTTCCGTAATCTCCTCCCCCGCCTTGCGTTTGTAGAGGTCTTCGCTCTCCAACACTGGAGCATCATACTCCTGAAATCCATACAGCTGCGCAGTCTCCCGAAACCGATCGAAGAGCCATCTTTGCATCCGCATGTCCTCCGGAAAGAAGTCACGAGTGCCGCTTGGAGGCTCTAAGGAGAATCCTCCTTCTGCCTCAATTTCTTTTTTGGCGCTACGCCTTGCCTGACTGAACCTGGACCTGAGCACTGGCACGCCTGAGACGGCAGCTAGCAAGGCGCCACTGTAACCACCATACCTTTGCAAATGTTCCCAGCGGGGTGCGTGCCTCGGGCTGTAAGCACTCAGGGAACGCAAGGCATGTGAAGAGGTACCAGTGGTAGCAGTGAAGGCACAGCCGGTGGCCAAGACTCCCACTGCCAGCCCAGTATGGCCAGCTCGAAGCCGTTGACGAGAAGCACCTCTCATGCAGCTCCCTGGTGACAGAAAAGCACAGCGGTTGGGCAGCTTGAGCCAATCATGGAGGCCGGGAAAGCACTGCAGCGATCTCATGCGATCTCTGTTGATTCTGTTGTTGCGTTGATTGGGATTTGGGCAAAAAACAAAGGCTCAAAGGTTCTGGCTCACAATTGAAATCCACCGGTCCGCGCCGATGAGACAGCCAAGCCTTGGTCGAAAGCTGAGGGAAACAACATGAAACAACGTAAACAACTATCTTGATGTCCAAGTACCAAAGCTCAAGGTGTCAAGGTGGATTGGCTGGATTGGGCATACGCAGTTGGCAAGTGAGTACTGTAACATACTGTAACTGGTTCAACTGCCTATGACCTGCCTTCCCAATGCCACCTACGACTGCCAGCTGTTCCAGCTCATGTTCCAATCATCCCAAGCCTGCTGGCAAGTGTTGTGCACATATCTCAATGAGCCGTCGCAACGGCACGGTGCTACCAATGGATCATCACGGCTGTCCTGCAAATGGAATGGCATGGACATGAAGATCGACATGAAGATCTACCTGGAAATGTGGCTTCAATCCGACAAGAAAATATGAAAGTCACAAAATATCACACACAAAGTCAATGATCATCATCCATCATCATCCAACTTATGAAGGAAATAAAGTACTGTGTCAACCAGCTACTCCCATCCGCTTCGCCACCTTTATTAATCAATTCCGATCTTTCCGAAACAGAACGAAGCGGTCCCTGTCTCCTCCAAGCTATGACAAATACGACAGGCGGACTTGATGACCTGCGGACAATGATCTTCTAAGTAGTGACTTGTCTCTCACTTGCGGAACAGAACCTCCAAGAAATGTAGTACTGTCCCTCTGTGCTTCCCACTATTTATATTATATCTATTTATAATATAAATTATATTCATAAATATACATATATATATATATATGTATATAAATATCTATATAATATATTATGTGTATATATATATCTATTTAATTTATATTCATTGGATCAATGCACTCACCAATTCCCTGTGCGACGCCAGTGAATCGATTTCCCTTCGTCTCTTTCCGATGAAATCTCTCGAGCCCGTCCCGACCCCAACAGCCAAGAAAAGCTGCTCCAATTGTGACGCAACGATACGCAACGTCCTTCTCACACTTTAGCATTGGATTTCTGTCATCAAGACATTCTAGTCAAATGTGCAGCTGAACCTCAAAGTGCTCCTTCTCTGAATTGCGAAACGGCCAAACAGCCTGCGAAGCACTGACAAGTCCCCTTTGGGCTTTGGATGGTTTTGGAACCCCCACAACCTGGACAACCACAGGATTTTCACTGGAGGAAGTGGTCTTCCTTCATAAGTTCATAACCTTCCTCCTTAAATTCTTCATGATCTTCGTATATCTTCGTAGACAAGTCTTTCATGTTCATCCTTCCACTTGTTTGAACATGCCTGAACCACACTGTTTGGTCCATCTTGGTCCACCTGGCTGCTGCTAGTGAGCCGTACCAGGCGGCAGCGTCGGATGCCTGACATGACCTTAACCAACGAGGATCAACAAGGCAAAACAGGACGTTTCTATCGTTCATAGACAAAAAAAGACACCTCTGCAGTTTCCGAGTTGCACCATGGAAAGGTTGAAAACATTCAACTGCGTTCTAAAGTTGCCTTATCTCTAGCTCACCAACTGAATAACAACGAGACAAGCAAACGCTGTCACAAGTCACCACGCCTTGCATTCGATCTCGGCAGGTATCTGTACTGTATCGAAGGTGTATCTAACAATACTCCTGCGAAATGCAGCCTTTCAGATCGATTGATTCCTCTGGCTTGATGCTGACTGATCTGCTGTCTCCCTTTGCATCTGCAAGTTCTTGTAGAATTGCTCTTCCCTTGATCCCTGTTTCAGAAAACTGCTTGGCCTGATGTGACAGTGTGAAGTTTGATACCTCAAAAGGACTTGACGACTTGGTCTTCAAATCTGACAGCAAGGTGCCTTGAGCAAGGGAAAGCAGCCAAAATTGTCCGGGCTATGCTGCGAATGCGTCATCTCCGTGTCTACGCATTCAAATGAAGGGGACTCTGACATGACAATCATTTCCAAACATATTTCGAAAGAAATTGAATAAAATCCTAAGACCCTTGAAGTAACTCGATCGTGCAACCCGTTTGACCGCCTGCTGCAGGTATGTTTCAAAAGATACCTTGCTGGTGATGCCAAATGCCAAAGTCCTAGGTGGGAAACACTGAAACAAAGTGATCCATGGTAACAAAGTAGCTTGCAACTGGGCATGAAAAGTCTGCACACCACGCTCCTGGACTACGAAGTGTGAGCCAGACAAGGAGAGCCTGAACAGCCATGAGGAAATGGATGCTTCAAATAATGCAGTCTGTCTGTGGCTCTTTGTTGTTCAACTACCAATCTGTGGTAGATACGTGCTGCCACAAGTCCAAAAACAACTCGAGTGTTCCGCCATTGACGCAGCTCTAACACAGAATCGACAAGGCAAAAACTTCAAAATTCCTTGCATTGATCTCGGCACACCCTTTGCCACGCAACTACAAGACCGAGACTGACCGGCATGAGTCAAGACTCAAGATCATCGTTGCAGTGGCCTACATGTGCACCACACTGTTGATTACATGCTGCGTCAAAGTTCTGGCACTGTGGTTTTTCACCTTGCCATTTGGAGAAAAGGATCGCCTGTTTTTAACTTTGTATAGACACATTTCAATGCGATGAGTTCTCATGGGACGTCTCTGGCATAGGTGAAGTTCTTGATGTCCTGACAGTAATGGTTTTCCCATGTTTTCCCAACATGAGACATGTTGTCCCAACATGGTGCTTCCTTTTTCGGTACACACAGCTGCGGTTCAGCTATCTCTCCCTGTGGCACCAAGTAGACGGCCGAAGAGGTTCCTCTCACATCACTTTTGCCCACGTAGTGGAAAAATAAAAGAAGCCTTGGAAAAATGTCTCAACCTACCTCAGCCTCATCCAAGTGGAGAAGACTCCTTTGAGGAAAAATGTCTGTGCTGGCTTTGGTGCTGCCTTGATTCAGCTTTTTCGCAATTCTCGTCGGTCTCATTGCAGCCGTCCAAAGCAGGTGCTGGCTCTACAGTGTGACCTTTGCACAGCTGGACGATGCAGTCCATCTCAGCTGCTGCTAGTCCAAGGCCCCTGGGGACAGCAGCTGACTCAGCAAAGAATTCCAAGTCAAACAGGGGCGCAACCTGGGAGTTTCATACGGAGTTTCTGTGTAGTTGTCTGTAAAATGCCGGATAAACCACTGTCAGGTCCGCTAGAGGACCTAGAGTATCTGCAGCATTCTGCAGTTTAAATGGATTGATTTGTGCAACAAAATCATCCAGAACCGTTCTTGTCTTGGACGTCAACGTGGGAATTTGAAGACATGCTGCATGGGTTGGTCAGAGCAATCCTAAACACCGCAAATAGAGGAGGCAACTCTGGAATGCATCATGCAAAGTTTGACAAGCCTGCACTTGAAGGTCGAACACAATCCTGTAGCATTGATAATGTGCTTGTCTTGGTCATCCACGAAAAGCACCTTCAAACAGCTTCTGTTGTCAGCTGCGCAAATGGACTTCTGAAGAAGGTGCATCTCTCGTATTCTCTCAGCATCAACTCACAAGATGTGTGGCCTCGGAAGGTTTGAGACCTCGTTGATCAATGAAGCTTTGGATAAAGGATGCTTTGCTGGCGAAGTTTCCTGCAGCTTCCGGAAAGGAAACAGCTTGGCGCAAAGGTCATCAAATGACAATCGCTACGGTCACGGAAATGTACATGCTAGCTCAGACCTTGTAGATCCGCAAGATTTGCGGCAAAAGATGCTTTGTGAGGCAACAAGGAGTCTCTCCAGGCAAATCTGCATGAGGATCTAGGAAGATTGGCCCATAATTACTCAATGTACGAGATTTATGATGCTTTCTTAACCAGGCTGCGTCAATTTTCGGAGATTGGAGATGTTTACTGTAGACATGAGGAACTTGGAAACGAAATGTTGGCTCCACCGCGCCTAAATCCTGAAGCCCTGCAATGTCCACAAACAGGTCTCCGATTTCTAAAATGGCAAGGGCACACTGGATGACATCACCTGAAGAAGCAGTGATGGATGCAATCGGCTTGTTTCTTTGCACGCAGCCGAGTACATGCTACAATCTGCTACATTTGAGTCTCGTAAAGGCAGCCTAATGGCTCAAAAAGTGCTTCAAATCTGGTGCGACAGTCATGCAATTTGCACTCCGACTGGATCAGCAGAGTTGCGATCTGCATAGGAAACGATGTGGCTCTGGACCTAGCACTTTTCGGAGCAACAGCAGAATGCCACACCTCGAAGCCTCGAAGATATTCGAAGATCATGAATCCAATCCCAGCATCCCTAAGTTGACCACCCCAAGGCGCTTCAAGTGGCATAGCATCGCACGCAAATGCGCAACACGTTCTTGGCCACCAAATCCTGCCCGCTCTGAGCCGGGTCTCACCACCCCTTGGAAAACTCATCAGCTGTTTAGAAACGAAAAAGAGCCACCTGTAAAATCCGGCAAATGGGCTAATTTATGGTTGGTTTACAGTAGGGCAATCATTAAAGCTACATAAAGCTACATCATTTATATTCATTTATAAGATATTCATGCATTTTATGGCTAAAAATAATGAAAAATCAACCCAGGAACCTACCACACCAAGGTCTCCCCAGTCCTCGTTCCTTTAGCCAGGAGCTATCTGGACCTTGGCGATTGAAACCTCCACGGTCAGGAAAGAGTCGCCAGCCTGGAATCTCCTGCCAAAAAGCATGGCCGCAAAGAATAGTGGAACACTAAACTTGCCAAGACTAGCCAAAACTATCCAAAACTATGATCTTCAGCGCAAAGTGTCACTCTCCCATGCCCTCTGTGCGATCAAACACAGGTGCCTCGCGGGTAGTGAGAGTACCATCAAAGTCAAACAGCACCGCTTGAACGCCCGGTGCATGTCTCAATCTTTTGGCTGCTGGTTGCGGGACCTCGGGACTGCAGGCTGCATGTTTGGATCAAAAGACTGGTGGCATTGCCGCAAAAAAGAGTCTGCATGTGTATCATAAATCACAAAAAAGTGCATTTTGTTGGAAACTTGTCACTCAAGAGTTCCAATTGGCTCACAAGTGTGTGGAGCAGAAAGAGCCCATGTGGCAAATAGGAATTGTAGAGTCCATTGCTCTTTCGTTTGCTTCACAAAGGAGACAATGATGGACCCTCAGCATGTTTCTAGGTGACCGTTAGGAATTGGATGGAACAAGGTCCCGAAAAGGCCAAGGTAAAAAAAAAAAACGGCCCGCATTGGCAAACAAGCATCAATTTCATGTGTGTCAGATGCCAAGTTGGGCAGCAACCATGGCGTGTCTGACATGGCATCAGAGGCAGCAACTTCCAAACCTCTTTGTTTTCACCACTATAACTGTTGGCTGTTCAGTCAAACGGAACTTAAGATAGATTTAACAGGTCATGGGCCAAGTGACACTGGTATTAACAATTTAACTTCTGATCAATTGTCTATTGCCCTGATTGTTTGCAATCGTTTCAACTTCAACATGTCCGAACACGATGTCAAAGTAGTCGATTAGCTCATAGAATTCTCTGAAACTGACTAATGCCTACATGCACCAGACATGGTAAGCGACTCAAGGATGCAGCTCAAGCAGCTACAGTATCGTGAATGCTGCAAATGTATGCAAATGTCATAGTCACAGAGGCTCAAGAAACAAATCAAACCAGGTAAGATTAAATCAAAGGCATAACACGTGTTTTGCTGAGGGAGAGCTTATAGCCTATAGCACAGTGAGCCAGCTAGATGTCCAATCTAATAGCTCAATCTGGCATCCCGAAATTATACTGATGTCCCTCTCCTTTCAATTCTGGAAATCTGTGGAATATTTACCCGTTTTTCACATTCTTACACCAAAAATCCTTCTGGTATCTTCTGGTGTTCAATGAAGTACCTCTTTGCCACAGGATATCCGGATATCCTCAGCCACTCCTGCGACTCTTGTCCTCCAGCTGCTCCGTTGAGTCGTCATTTCGCCATGCTGTGGTCTCTCAAGATCCCACTTGGCGCACATGGAGCCACTGCGCGGATGAAGTGCGAGGATGGTGCGAGGATGGTTTCCAGGAGCCTTCTGTGGAAGCCATGAATGTCAAAACAGAAATTGTTGGGTCGAGGCAGCTATCTCTTGTGCTTCCGGGCGTCCACAATACAGACCGCGATGGCTCTCAGGGCCAACAATTAAGTGATCATTTGCAAGTGCAAGCTTTTCTTATGGTGGCAAAGCTGACAACCCTGCCCTTCTTGGGAATGGAAATTGGGTTTCATCCAGCGCAGAACTGGCATAATTCAAGCAACACAGCTGTTCACAACGTCCACTTTGGTCAGGGTTGACAATGCCACCCACAAATTCGTCAGCTCACCCCAAAGGCCTCCACCGAGGGACCCAAAGCGCTGCATGTTTTCCCACCAGAACTGGCTTGCCTTTTGCATCCAGAAACTGGAAATGGTCAGGGGCTTGCCGCGGCGTTTGGCTCATCTGGGTGTCTGGCCCCGCCGGGCCTCAAGCTCCTGAAGCTGAGAGAAAGAATTGGGAGATACTTGGGATCTGGTGTTATCAATTTTTTAAAAAATGTCGTGAATTCCACGAGATTGTTTCGGATTCTCGAACACTTTCATTCAGACATGCTGCTTCGCTGGCCTACTGTCCTATTCAATCCATCAATCATCACCACCATCATCAGGAGCAGCCGCAGCAGCATCACCACACCATCACCAATTCCATCTCCATCCCTGAACCCAAAATCCAAAACTTAATGCAAACCCACCTAGTTGATGCAAGTTCTGCATATATTGGTACAAGATGGTACAAGGGACTCGCTGTACTGCCTGGGTGAGGCAGAATGCACCCGCCTCGATTATCCTCGAGTAAGGCCTTTGAGGAGTCCCAAAGACTCTCTTTCATCTGGAAACCTACTGGTTGGTTGATACGGTAACGGTTCTTAAAGTGGATTAATCAATTAGTCCACAATCCGCTTCCAATCAGTCATTATAAATACTATAAACCCCATGTTTGTCCATCAACCCCCACGGATTCTGGCCATTAGCGCATATCAGTTCTTCTGCTTCACTGAGAGAATGGTGCAACTTGAGCCCCTGTGGATCCTCTTAGGCCAGGATAAACACTGGATTGTCTGCATGTGGCGGAATGCAGGTGGGTATCCTTTGGCACATCCAGGTGTTGAAAAGAAGAACCCGCAAGGACCGCAAGGATCAGAAGTTGAAGAGCCATGGCAGCCATGCTGAAAAGGCGCTTCTGTCGACCCTGTAGAGATCCAAGAATCATGAAGCATCATGAAACGTCATGAAGCATCGTGGGATATCGTGGGTCTCCTTCCCATTGCACTATGGTGATCAACCGTCTGGGATCCATCGGGTTTTACCATGATTCTGACCCGTTCCGGCAACCACTTACAACCACTACACACCTAACCCGTGAGGCCTCAACCACCTTCCCAGGCTACAGTATCTTTCCAAATTTTGAAGTTGGATAGCTCTGCAGCGCAAAACATGGAACCTTCTGCCAGAGTCTAAAATGTGTATCCATTCAGTTGATCATGTTGATCCAGGCTTTACACACTGGATACTGGCCACTGGCTACAGTACCATCTAGCTACCCGGTTGTCTCCTGTCGGTAGCGTTCCTTCAAATCCGTCTCCTGAGCCACCTGCAGCATTGCGTTGAATGCTGCCGCAATGCGGAGTAGGCTTTCCATGGAATCATCCTCTTGTTGGCCATTATAATTCCCTATTAATGATGATATAACAAGCCCCAACAGGTTTATATAGGTGTATAATATGTATAATCTAACGTTTCACCATGACTTCATACAATTTCAAGGTTGGATCTTGCAACTCCAATGCATGTCCCCATCAGGATCCGGGTATAGCAGAAAGGATTTCCCATCTCAATTCCCGTTATTATATCGTATATAAATGAAATAATATATATATACACACGTATATATACATAAATTTTAAATATATCCCATTGGTGAAATCCCATCTTATCTCATCGTATCCCCCTTACATCTACATATTTACATCTCCTTGATGATTCTAATTCTATATCATTCTATATCCCCATTTCCGAAGAATCAACCATTGCATTGCTTTCGCCTGTGCATGCAATCGTCGATTCTCCTCTTCCAATTCTGCGACTCGTCTTTTGAGCATCTCCACCTGGGCGAGTCGAGTACAGGACAGCCATGGACAGTGCACATGCGCCTAGTATAGAATTCTGATGATACATAAGGTGTGCATATATGCAATCCTAAATATCTGTAATTCAATATGGATTATCATATAGTATTATTGGATATTATTAGATCTGATCAATGCCCTTAAGGTTAAAGTACCAAATACCAGTAACCACACCCGCCGGCATCGCCTCTTCTTGTGGCGACTTGGGCTGAAACTCAAGCGATGCCTGCAGCTCAGGTATGCTCAGGTTGCTAACTTGCAGACTTTGTTTAAAAATATGTTAAACCTGTTAATCTTGATAAATTAATACTTATAAATGATAAAATTGTTTTGAACGGCTTCGCGTAAATCTATTGCCCCGCATCTTGGAAGAATCTTGGAATCTCTCCAAAGAACTGCACCTTCTCAGTCTCAACCCGGCATGCAACCGCTGGCACTTCCTCGGAAATCATCTGACTGCACTGCTACATGAGGTCAATCCGACATCGGTGTCCTGAGGCCTACAGTGCAAAAAGGAGGGAAGGGAGAAACGAGAACAAGGATCTACAAGATCCACAAGGATGAGGATCTTACGAATAAGAAAGCTCAGAAAGCTCCAAAATCCCTGAAATATCTTTCCCACCTTTCAACATCTTTCAACCAGTCCACTGAACGCAAGCCCCCCAGCAAGCTCTCGTTCTAAACTTGGAGTCCGCACATCTTCTACTTGAGCTCCTGCCCTGCAGAGAGTAACCCTTGGCATCATGAGTAACGACATGTTTAACCCATCGAAGCCGATTACAGTAAAACATGTAAAAACATTGTAAAGACTATGTGAACCCCTTCAAGCCGTGAGAACGATCAGGTACCTTCGATTAAGTTTAGAGAGTTAAAAACATTGCAACTCTATCTCCTGTTTCTGCTCTTGTCGTAAAACTGCTTAAGAAACCTAATGATTCAATGATTGAGTAATTTCTTCGGAGGGTTGCAAAACAAAGATGTTGAAACACTGTGCAGAAAATGCTTGGCGGAAAGGGTCTCCTCTTTGCTGCACGGCGAGCGCGTACCCTGCAAGCATTAAGATTGAGGCTCGGAATTGCTTGGGAAGCTACTACACCCAGTACGTGCGTCTGCGTCATTTCACACCACTGGTGAGCACCAAAATGTGAACCTTTTCTGGGCAGGTTGACTTTCGGAAGTGAGATCTGATTTCTTTGCCGAGTAGGTGCGATATCCACCAGCCTGTCTGCTGGTGCATAGGGCTGAACATCCAGCCGATAGCTTTGGGTGTCCGCATTGTAGCTCTCGACCTGCAATGATTGGTGAGATCAGAAACGCTCGCAGCAATACACTAGTGCTCAAGTATGGGTGGATTATGGATATCATGGTGGATTGGTACCATCAAGTGGGCTTCCTATCAATTTCCCAACAGAACCAATCCATCATGCAGCCATGATCGGATATGGAGGTGTCCCAAAATGGTGGCTACCCCCAAATCATTCATTTGATTTTCGGATTTCCATGAAAGCCTCCAGCTATTGAAGGTGTCTCCATAAATTGGAAAGCCAGGCTTTAGTCATTGAGCTTCGATGGTTCCCATATGTTCCCATATTCCCACAATGCCTTAGCCAGGATCCACTGGTTTGAGGATCTGCTCTTGTACTCTACGAAAGTCATGGCCGGAAATGGTCCCAATTCCTGCGGAAAAGCCACTGTCGCAAACTAAAATACATCCTTCTCAGCAATTTCTTCTGGATGATTGTTAGGTATACACGCAGTAAGTTTTGAATGTATTTGAATGTATGTTTCTGATTGGCTGTCGGTATCTGTCAGTTTGTCCATGGGAAAGCTCTGGGGAGCAACTGGCGCAGCGCTCCTCTGGACAATCACTCAATGCCTCCTGTCAGCTCCAAACATTTCTGCATCGAGCAGAAAAAATAGTTGATTGAGTACTTGAACTTCAAAACGGTTGATCTTGAACTTCAAAACGGTTGATGGAACAAAGTTTGACAGACCTTGTTCCTTGAAACTTGAGAAAGTGACCAAAAAAATCATGCAATTCTTCAATTTCATCGCTCTGCTGCTCTACTCTTATATCTCTTGTCTCCCCTCTGAGACAATAACTCCCTGACAACTTCCACAGCCTGGGATACTGCAACCGGCCTGCGTTGCTTCCCTGGGAGTGCTACATGGGGAATCTGGACCTGCCAAAGAAATTTGGCTGAACACAGCAGAGAGCCCGAATTGACAATCGATCACAACCATATCAACCAAGAATCAATTGATCGATTGAATATTTATTTGCCAAGATCAACCTTCTGGTGCCACCACTCTGCAATATTCGTTGAATGTTTGTTCTATGTGGTCGGTATGTTGTAAGTAGTGTCACCTCCTGACTCTTTTGCCTCAGTAAGGCAGTAAGCCGCGTAAGCCGTACCGACTCCAAGCTCTGCACGTGGAAGTTGGCCATCTTCCCCTTCAAAATCTGGAGGCTGAAACCTTGGCCTCAGCACAGAAAGGAGTCCAGTAAATGGCTGCACCAGGTCAGGATGAAGTGGGAAAAAACATGGCAGCAATGGAAGCCAAAGTTCAGTTCAATGTTGCTTGATTCAGGTCAACAACAATCAACTTTCTCGTTAAAATACATCCAGAAACCAAGGTTGGTTTCAATTTCTCAATCGCACGAACTTTTGTTGGGCAGCATATCGCAACTGGTGCGAATGCATCCGCGCGTATCATATCGCAACGAGTGCAAATGGCGCGCAAGTGGCACAAAACGAAAGAGGCAGGACTGCTTCGCGTCCAAGCCACGAAACGTTGCAAGGTCAGGATGTCGCCAAATTTCCGACATGTATCCACCAGCTAGTCCCTGTTTGGAAAGACAGTTGAAATCAACCATGGCACTATATGATTGGTATGTTTGACAACCAATCGAACACTGATCAAATGGAATTCAAATGGAAAGATGCAGATGCACCGACCATTGCATGATCAGACTCCAGGTCGTCTCACCTGAATCTCAACAGCAATGACTTAAGTCTTCGGGGATTGTAAGACTGGAAAGCCAAAAAAGAACGAAGAAGAACCTCTGGTTCATTAAGTGAATATTAAGATATATTAAGTGTGCCATCATGTTCCCCATACTTCCCCATACTTCCCCATACTTCCCCATACTTCCCCATCGTTTCATGACCGTAAATTGAGTCAAACCCATGAAATCGTCCAGTTGCTGAGAGAGAAAACGGGTGTCGCAGTGTTGGACATCCCGGTGATCAAACTGGAATGCACTGCTTGCCCTGTGCGCTTGATTGTACCCGGCTGTGGAGATCATGCACAGACCTCAGATTCCAGAAAAACCGCCTTCATAAATCATGCATACTGCAGAGCTCGTATACTATCTTCTACTTATATATAATATATATATATATATATCATCTTATATCGACTTGTGGATAAACAATGCCTTGATGGATAGAAAGTGTATCGCTCTCAAAGCAAAAACCTGGCCAAAACAAAAAGTCTGTACCATACTCTCCAATCATCTCCTAGCGTACCCCTGGGAGAGCAAGGGCAACAGCTACAGCTGGCAACTGTAACGAATAACTTCTCGACTTGCTGGAAAGAATCTGGTGGCACCCTCCGACCCTGGGAAGCATCAAAATTTTCTATATTTATGAAATGTGAATAGGATCAGACTAGACAACATCCCCGTGGGTATGAGTCTGAGTCATAGCCTAGGTACTCATTTTAATTGCTGGTTAATGGATGTTTATTCCCCAAAACATATGGCAGTGTGTCAAAACCTTGTACCCCTGGTGAACATCAAAATAGCTGGTAAATGGATGTTCATCCCACTAAAAATGGTATGTATAGGTATTGACCCATCCCCATATGGCAATAATGGGTTTTCACCCATCCCCACATCGATGATATCGATGCGCGCTGATGCCAAGTTTCTTCTTGGCTGCTGCAGGGTCACCTCCATTCACCAACTCAATAGCTTGGCCCATGTTCCAACAAAGATGCCCACTGTGCGCCTCCGAAGCAAACAAGGAGAGCCAGGATTGGGCCAGGATAGCACAAAAAGAGACACAACTCTCAGTCTCACTGGGATCCTGAACCTGGCCTTGCCATGTTTCATTCTTAGTTTGCTGCCTTTGGTTCTGAAGAAACAATGCCTTCATAATCCTTCATATCTATCTTTGATCATTTGATCTTCGTAATCGTTTCATAAGGGTGACAAGGCTGACTCGCCTCAATATGCTTGTCCACACCGGCTGCGAACATGGCCTGAATCGCTGCACCCTGACTGCCCAAATGGGCCCAATGTATGTGGTCATGGGATGTCATGGGATGTCATGGGTCAACACCTGCTGGATCTGGAAACCAAAAGAGTTCCACAATGGTCCACACACACACACAAACAAAGTTCCACTTATCCGGCTGTCACACTCGAATCATGAATGAGAAATGATGATCTGCCACGATCTATCAGCAAATCACCAAATGCCATTGATCGCTTCGATGCTTGGGAGCGAAAGATCCTGCCTTTGTGAGTGGTGCTTTCAAGTTGGCCAAGACAAGGGATTTCTTGCGCTTCTCGAGCGAAATGGCCAGGTTTTCAATGGCTTCACATCCAGTCATGTCCGTCCCATTGACGGATTTACAATCCAAGATCAAATGGGAGACTGATGAGTCCGCTTTGCTTGCAGCAGCCATGGCGCGCATGCAAAACTCCTGCAAACGTCTGGTGTTTGCAAAGCTCAATCCAGCATCCATTCGAACCACGACGCACTTGGGCATCATCCGACCCTCTGGATAGTACCTCACATCTCTAAAGGTTCCATCCTCCACTTGGCCACAGACTGCCAAGTTGGGCATGGCCACTTCGTAGGTCAGCTTCAAAATGGACAGTGACACCCCTGTGATGAGGCCTTCCTTCACTGTCAAGCCCAAAGACACCAGAAAGGTGGCCACCTCATCAGCGGCTGGCTACCCTAAACATATGCTTTTCTCTGAAAATAGATGAAAAAATAATATTAGTATATAAAATATATATATATATTATTATTAATATTATTATTAATATTATTATTATTAATATTTTTATTATCATTAATATCTTTATTATTAATATTATTATTATTAATATTATTATTATTACTGTTGTTGTTGTTATTACTATTAGTATTATTTTTATTGTTTTTTATTATTATTGTTGTTGTTATTATTACTATTAGTATTATTATTAGTATTATTATTATCATTTATATATGTTTATTTTTATAGTATTATTTATATATATTATTATATTATATTATATTATATTATATAGTATAGTATAGTATATTATATTATAGTATAGTATATTATATTATAGTATATTATATTATATCATAAATAATTATATTGTATCATATTCTTATATTATATTATAATATACTATATTACATTATATATTATATTATATTATATTATACTATATTATACTATACTATATTATATATTATTATATTGTATTATATTACTATATTATATCATATTATCATATTATATTATATCATATTATAGTATATTATAACTATATTATAACCATGTTATATTATGTTATATTATAACTATATTATAACCATATGGTATTATATTACATTATATTATATTATAATATATTATATTGTATTATATACTATACTATACATACATTATTAAATCATATTCTATTACATTGTATCATATCATATTATATTCTATTTAAGTATATTATATTATGTGTATTCTATTGTATTATATTATAATTACGTTCATATCTATATTAAATTATATTATATTATCGTATATTATATTATATGTTTATTATATTATATTATACTATACTATATTATATCATATTATATTATATATATAACCATCATGTTCCCTATCAACATGGTCATTTTCGGTATAGTTACTCCATTTGTCGACAAACCCATGTGTGTGTGTTCAATGCATTACTGGTTAGTGACTGAACCACCCATGTGTGTGTGTGTTCAATGCATTACTGGTTAGTGACTGAACCACGGCTGCAACATGAATTCAACATGATGTGATTTTTCGCCAAGATGAGCTATTTCATGCTATTTCGGCTAGGCTAAGGCACCATAATCAGGAAATCCAATTTGTTGCCCTTGAAGGTGGGGATGAATGCCTTAAAATCCGTGACACCAATGGCCCCATGGATGATCAACGGAGCTAAGGCTGAGAGAGGCAACAGCTCCACCACAGGCATCAGCGAATACACCGCGATGACCACAACGATCGATGTCAAGGCGCCGCTGAGTGGCGAAGTGGCACCGAACATGGCGTTCACGGCGGTCCTGGAAAAGCCACCGGTGATGGGGAAAGCACCCATGAAAGCTCCAGCAACATTGGCAGCGCCCAACGCCAGAAGTTCTTGGTTGGCATCATAGCTGTAGCGCTTTTCATTTGCCATCTTTCCACCAACTGCGATGGTTTCCAGAAAACCCACCACTGCAATCATCACTGCCGGTACGATGAGATCTGGAGTTTTGCTGTCAAAGCTGGGTAACAGGAACAGGAAGCCATTGCTTTCACTATCCTCAATAAGCCTCACAGAAGTGATTCCAGCTTCTCGATAGATAAAGCCCCAGACCCAACCAAGGATCACACACAGCACCGAGGACAAGTCAGCGCACATCTTCATGGATTTGAAGGCGCAGGAGTCCTTGTTCTTGGGGAAAAACCTCCAAAGCAGACTCTTGGAGCGCTTGGCTTCATTCCCAGCCTGCTTCTACTTCTTAAAGAAGGTCAGCATTGCCAGAAGCGTGAAGCCAAGCACTGCAGTTGCCGCATCGATCTCTGGAAGGTGTTTGCACAAGTCATATGCAGTCTGCCACCAGTACTTGTGCCTCTTGATATTGATGCCAAGGACATGCTTTAGTTGGGATGTGGCAATGATCACGCCTGAAGCAGGGTCTTGATGGTCTGTACATCCAGAGGAGAGCAGGTTTGACTCATTAATTTGCCAAACTAAAACTGCTATGTGACCACAACTGAACTGAGTATTGCCTTCCAAACAAGCTAGGGAATAGCCATGCCAGCGCCCCAAAAAATCCATGGAAGACCACATGGATCATCCCAGTAAGTGGTTGATCACTGGTAAATACCCCTGGTGATCACAAGTCCCCTTGTCCAATCCCACAAACACTTAACATCACTTAACCACATAGAGTCTTCCACGATTTTTCAGAAAGCCCATCCTGAGGCGGTACAGAAGGAACTCATGACGCTGTGCGACATAAAATCCACCACGAAGCCAAAGCGCAAAACGCCCAGCAGAAAACTCACGAGGCCCACCAGCAAAGCTAAGGTGCAGGCCCCACTCAAGCGCTCCTCATCGCCCAACCTGGGTTGTATGGATGAACTCTTTCAAAAGAACAGTTGACATCCCAGATGTTGGGTTGTATATTGAAAAAACATCAAAGGTTACCTTCAGATATTCTTTTCCCCATTGGATGAGATAAATATTCCCCAAATATTGGATGGGATAAAACAAACCTTACTTTCAGCAACTCCAGGCGACAAGTTCACTGCATCTAAGGCCTGCCCTGTCAATAAGCTGATCAAGGCAGTGGGCCCCACCTGAAGCTGTCGAAGGGTACCTGGGCGGCACCGCAACCATGACATATGTACCATGTACCATGACGTACCACGACGTACCATGACATGACGTACCATGACGTACCATGACCTACCATGATGTACCATGACGTACCATGATGTACCATGATGTACCATGACGTACCATGACGTACCATGACATGACGTACCATGACATGACCATGACATGACGTACCATGACATGACGTACCATGACATGACGTACCATGACGTATCATGACGTACCATGACGTACCATGACGTACCATGACGTACCATGACGTACCATGATGTACCATGCCGTACCATGACGTAGCATGACATGACGTAGCATGACATGACGTACCATGACGTACCATGACGTGCCATGACGTACCATGACGTACCATGACGTACCATGACGTACCATGACCACAATCATAAGCATCACCAAAATAACAAACAAATTAGCCATGCCGGCCATGCCTGTCTTCTCCTGTCTTATGCTTGTCGAGCTTATCTATAATATGCTTCTCAGCACGATGTTATGAACCAAGAATGAAGCGTTGCTTCGAAATCAACTTGGAATGATGTTGTGAATTACAATGATTCGCTAACCCAAAATACGGCTACTCTATTTGGGAAAAAAAATTGGGGAAGGATAGTTCCCCCTACTATCCATTGCTGGCCATCATTCCAGGCCAGGTACCGAGCAATGCATAAATCACCAGGGGCGCAAAGGAGGAGTACAAGCCTGCCCGAATGGGCAAGCCTGCCAGCAAGGCGAAGGCCAAACACTGCGGCACCAGCATCAGACCCACTGTGAGACCTGCGCCGGAGCTCGCATGAGGTGTTGGGTACCTCAAAATCGTCATTGAATTTAGTCTATATATAACTATTTATATATATATATATGTATGTTGATTTATGTTGATTTTAATAAGAACAAGAAATTGAATGTTATTGAGAAAGTTGGACTTGCCAAGGGGTGCAGCATAGTGTCCACCAGCCGTGTGCATTGTTTTTCGATCTCTCAGTCTTCACTCTGTTGGATTTGGTTTGTGCTACCTGAATTCTTCATTCACCACTGCCAATACCACACCTGTTTGAACGTCCATGATTTGTATTCACTAGCTTCCAAAAGCTCTGTTCTTTCGTTGCGGTTCGCAGTGCTTACAGTAACTAAAGAGGACAATTTGCTTCATGAAACAAGAAATATCCGCAACAGATCAGAATCCTTGCCAAACGTCTGCGCACAGATCTGCATCGAAATGCCCAGTGGAAACGGACGGGTGGAAACAGGTAGCAGCCAGTGGACTGGCATCATGTCCTTCAACGTTTCTTTTGACACTATGCCAGTGCCCAGTGCCACACCATCCCTGGGCCTGCAATCAAATCTCCCTTGATGGAGTACGGCAGTTCTCCCATCTTTTCGATGTCTCCGGTGCTAGCAGTGCCTCCATTGTGGCACTGCACAGCGTGTTCTCAGTTTGAGACATCAACTCTGCTCACAACTTGTCTAAACATTGTAACATGCAATCTCGGAACCCCGCCTTTGGCATATCTGACGTAGGCAGGTAGCCAGGTGAAGGGAGGGAACAAGGATCTAACTTCAAATTTACTTCCTCCATAGACCTCCTTCCATGCAGGGGGCACTGGTTTCACGTCATCTTCGGCTTTTGGTGATTCCATCCCAGCTTCGGGATCCTTCTCAACTTCAAATTTTTGCACTTCCGCCATGGCGAGTTCCGCACAAATTGGCGTTCCCTCTGGAGGTTCAGCTTGAGCAGCTTGGCAGGATATGAACAAAGGAATCAAACATAAAATCTCACATTGTCATGGGAGACATGGTCACATCATGTCACATCGTCCTTCCAACATCCACCTGGTTTTTATGTCCACAGCCAACATGTTTTCCAACATCTTTCCCGACACATCTCATCATTTCATACACATTGAAATCCGCTGTGGACTTAGTGACTTGTCGGTGCCATCAGTGCCATCTGCCAAGCTGCAGATTCTGCAACTGCGGCTGAATCTTGCTGGGGGTTGGAGCCTTGGCGGCCATCTTTTCAGGGATGATTTGATGACGGATCTCCCGATGTCAAATTCATCTGCAAAGTCTGTATATACTCATCATTATGACGCATACTATGTTTGTTCATATTATTATTAGTTATAAGACAGTTATAAGATGTTATAGGTATCCATAGGTATCCAGTACAGTATTCGTGTCAACAATATCTCTCTTCAGGAGTCAGCATCGCAACTAATCTTTCTGCCATTCCGCTGAGTTCCTGGACAGCAAGGACTGCAGTCACGGCCTTGGACGCCAAGTTTCCAAGCGGGGTACCCTTCTGTTCACCTTTAAAAAATAGCTGGGAAATGCTGGGAATCATGGCCTGATGTCGTGGGATTTGTGGATGGTCATAGCCAAATGGTTGGTTAATTTGGTTAGCAACTCAAGTCCGCAAGTCCGAAGTAGTGGTAGTCAGTGAGAGGTAGAAGAGTGGTATAAAACTTAAACCATTCTGCCATCGCCTTGAGAAGCAACCCCGCTTTGCAAAGTGCACAGATTCTAAGCTTCAATAATTCTGGGTCGTCTTCATAATCATCAACAGCAGGGACCACAATAACCACATCATCAGCATCAAATTCAGACACCGGGAGGTCTCAGTCTGCAACAGCCACTTGCGGACCATGAGCAGCGCGTCCGCCTGATTATCAGGGCCAGGCCGATGAACCATTCGTTGGCAACATCAAGAAACTATGACAGCACGGCGAAATCCCACATGAGCTGTGTGATACCAGCTTTCCGACTTCAACGTATCAAGGATATAAGACAAACCCTTTTGAAGGCACGGTACTTTGATGTTGGATACCCGTGGGGTGCCCCACCTGCAACTTGAAGCTGCGGTTGAACCACCTCCAAGCAAGTCTCTTAGCAGTTCAAGAGCGGATGGTGCAAATATCAGCGCCAACATTAGAACTGCACGGAATATATGGAATGAACTACATTAACAAACAAGTTATGCACAGATCCTCCCTGGCCCTGTATTTGACAGCCGGAGTTACAAATCTACAGCAGAGAGGTCAAAAAAAGTCGTGGAGAGGCCAGCTCCAATTTGGCTTTGCCTCAAAATGATATCCCAATCTATGCCCATTTAAATCATTTAGGGGACAATGCGTTTGTAAACCATTGGACCATTGGATGTTGGCAGATTTTCTCATCTTTGAAGGACAAACCCAACCGGTGTCATCTTTGCCTTGCTGGCTTCTGGAAAGCCACCCCATCGCATCGGAGCACGCGGTGCTGCGCGCGGCGCAGGCGGTGCTGAGCCTCGAGCCGCCTCAGATTGGGCATCTGTTTCGTCCAACAAAAATGGCAACTTTCATGGTGAAAATGTACATGTTAATATGTGTTATATGTGTTAGGGGGTATATACGGTATGTGTATATATATATATATGCATGTTTCTGTGTGTGTGTGTGTATTGTTATATATGCACCAGGCCCTGCCACCCCCCCCCTCCCCCCACCCCCCATGGGATGGGTCCCATATACTGGCCCCATATGAGATCTTCCCCCTCCCCCCCCCTGTGGTGTGGTGGGGGTGTGGCACTGTCCCCCTCCCCCCCCTGTGGTGTGGTGGGGGTGTGGTATGGTATGTTGGGTATGTATGGTGTGTATGGTCGGTCTGGTATGGCATGTTTGGAAAGTATGGTATGTTTGGTAGGTATGGTATGTATGGCATGAGTGGTTGGTATTGTATGGATGGTAGGTATGGTATGTAAGTCTGTTGGGTATGGTATGTTTGATATGACAGTATGTATGGTCTGTATGGTATGTATGATTACTATGATGGTATGGCATATTTCCTATGTAAGGTATGTATGGTATGTATGGCATGTATGTTTGCTATTGTATGTATCGTAGGGGTGGTAATTACATTTCATATGTATGGTATGTATGGTGTGTATGATAGATATGATAGGTATGATAGGTATGATAGGTATGATAGGTATGGTATGCATGGCATCATTGATTGATTGTTCGGTACGGTATATGTTAAACACAGGTGGTGTTGTCAGAGTACACAGGTAGTAAATAGGAAGTAGATACAGTAGATACATAGCACATGTATATATGACTATAGGTAGCACGTAGGTACTTTGAAGGAGTATGTGTGCTACGTAGGCCGCCTAAAAGGTAGCATGTACCTAGTAAATGCGAGGCTGGTAGTCAGAAATGCTGCAAAGACCTAGCAAATACGACGCTGGACCTCAGAAATGCTGCCAATAGCTTGCAAATAGAAGGGAATTGGGGCTACTACCTGGGGACCCAACCCATGGGGGGGGGGGGTGGAGAGACGGAGGACGGGACCATATATATTGTAGAATTCTGTGATCAGAGATGTATTCCGAATCTACACATAATAGCCAGTGGAATTGTGGTAGTATATCCAATTTTAAGATTCTTAATGGACAATCCCATCCGCATGATCCCCCTGTGAATTTGGGTACTTAGTAAGGGCCCGAACTTTGACAAAAATCCAAAATGGGTAGCACCCAAAAATGGCATTGAGCCTCTATAAAGCTGAAGTTGGGTACAGCACAAAACCACACAAAACCTACCCAATCAGGGGTTAAGCCAAAAAAAACATGTTTAAAAGTTTAGTCCGGCACATGCTTTGGAAAGGTTCTGTGACAATCCAGGAGAAACAGTGATAGTGATAACCATGTGTTTGTTCCTTTCACATGATTGTGCATTTTTTTAAGGTTGTTTTGCCATGTCTTGCCTCCGGCATCACCCATCTTGGGCAAAAAAATAACAAAAGACATGGGTCGCTACAAAGTTGAAACCTTTGCACAACATGACAGCATGCAACCCTACAAACTTGACATGGTTTCCTACAACACCAGCTGTCCTCACTACAAAATGCGTTTTCATCAGGTTGTTTTTTCATGAGAAAAAGCAAGGAAGCCAAAAAATCACTGTTTGAAGTTCAAGCACCATGGTATACAAAAAAACCTTTCTTAAATCTATAAATATATATATATATATATATCGTCGTTTTCGGCTACCAGATTTGAACCTTTTAGAGGAACACGCCTCTATAAAATGCAGAGATTTCTGGGCCTTGAGCACCTCAGTTTGAGGAAAATGGCCAGCGGGGGTTCTTTGGAGGAGCCCTTTCTATCAAGGCACCAACCAAGGACATCTGTTTACCATCATCTACAAACGTGCTTGGGTTTTGAAGTGGCAGATTACCCTGTGGTTTGAAAAGATGACAGGTTACTCTAGGTTACCACTCTACACAGGTCATGCAAAATCTCTCAATGGGTCTCAATGGGCCTCTGGGTCCCCACAGGGTCCCCACAGGGTCCCCACAGGGTCCCCACACATATTGCACCTGATATCCGCCATTTTGACCAGGCATGGCCACCGGAGCTGCAAGCATGGCCTATCATGGAAGACTTGAACCATTCAACAGCAGAATTTGCCAACAAAAATGGTGACTTAGACGACCGCAAGACATCACTTTGGTTGAACCAGAAGTCGTGGACTTCGCCAGGCAAAAGGGTGATGGATGACCAACCAAAGTGATGGATCATCGATATTGCCAAAAAAACACATCCCTTGATCCCATCGCTCCTCGTTTTCGCAATGAAGGCAGACTGTTTGAATGGGCAAAGTCTTGCAAAGTCTGGTAGCCCTTCATACTCTTGTCATGGTCGTCCAAGAAGCTTTTGTGTCACTGTTTGAGTGTGGGAAGATAGCTCTTTCACCACGCATTCTTTCACAATGTCAGCAAATGCTTGAGCCATCTCATCTCTATCAAGAACATCAGTATCAAACCTGTAGTACCCTGATAAGAAATAACTGCTTCAAAACAAAGCAACCATGCCCCTCAAATACCACCACATAGAGTAGGTAAGCATTTGGATTGACATCTTAGCACCAAGGGCCGCAAGCAAAATCGTCCAATCCGCGGCTTTTCCAACATGTCTTTCGAGGGCACTGGCTGCTGAGCACTTTTGCGACTTTCGCTTTGCCTGCGCAATCTGCAAACGATGTCACACGATCAAGACATGTCAGACATGTCAGACATGAGATGCACATTCTGATGACTCATATGACTTGCAAAGATCGGCAGATTTGGACAGTCCTTGACCAAAGGGTTCAATGGGCCGGAGTTTGAGGAACGATGTTTGGGGTACCTGTGCATGCACAAGCAAACGCAGACGCTGACGCATCTCTTGTAGTGCTTACGCATTCAATATGATTCAATGCGGCATTCAATGCGTTGTGTCACCACACTGCTGAAAGGTCGAACATGCCAACTGGCACATCCAAGGAATTCGCACACTCCCTTTTGAACCGGTGGTCTCTTCATTGTGAATTCAAACATGTAAACTCCAATATCCAGCAAGAGAATTCAAAGATGCGATAGAGTTCCGTCGGTGGCATCTTGACACAGCGTATGCAGAACGTTCCCACATCCGAAATCAACAAATGCCACCATCAACGCTAAACACCTAAAAATAGTTTGTTAATGTTTGTTAATTAGTTGTCACTGTGTTCGAGGTTCCTTCTGTACGTTGCAAGAATATGCAACAAACATGGTGGTGGTGGTGTATGTAAAGACCGTGGGCAAAGTATATTACGGGACACTATTTTAGAAGATATTCAATATTTTTTTCAAATAGAAGCAGGCCCAAGTCCATATGTAGCCGAGTCCGTTTCAAATAGAAGCAATTGGTAAAACAGACCGATTCACTAACAACTGCTTCTATTTGAACGGGAGTTGGTACTGGAGAGGCATTTTTCCTGTAAAATACCACGAAAACATGTTTCCCTGGAGAGGCATTTTTCCCCAAAAACATGTTTCCCTGCCGACCCCAACACCTTTTTTTTACCCCATGACCCCGGTCTGGCATCGATCCCCTGCGGATTGGGGCTGGCCACAGAGCTCAAAACAACATAAATTTGAGTTTGAGGAGCTCAGAATAGCTAAATATATATATATATATATACATATGCATACTGAATAGTTTATTTCACAAAAGTGCACAATTCTTGTCAATTTCCCAGAGAAATTATCATAGTTTATCAGCAAAACTCACAAACATGCTGTGTTTTTGTATGTTTTCGAGGGGCTCGTTCAAATAGAAGCAATCCCACATCCTATAGCTTCTATTTGATTGGACTGCTTTGAAGTGGAGACCTTAGAGAAACATCCAAACTGCAAAACACTATCTTGTTTGGGCCTCCTTTGTCTTTGCCCAAAATGGAAAACATTGGTCGTGCTCAACCTGCCTTGCGATGCTGCACACTGCACAGTTTAGAGAGGGATCATATTCATTTGTGGTCAAACATTGAGTCAAAAGTTCAAAACGAGTTGAAAACGCATGGTTTTTTGCACAGTTTGGCACAAAAGTGTACAATTCTTGTCAATTTCCCAGAGAAATTATCATAGTTTATCAGCAAAACTCAAAAAACCCTGTGTTTTTGTATATTTTCCAGGGGCTCGTTCAAATAGAAGCAATCCCATATCCTATAGTTTCTATTTGATTGGACTGCTTTGAAGTGGAGACCTTAGAGAAACATCCAAACTGCAAAACACTGTCTCGTTTGGGTCTCGTTTGTCTTTGCCCAAAATGGAAAACACTGGTCGTGCTCAACATGCCTTGCAATGCTGCACACTGCACAGTTTAGATGTGGTCAAACATTGAGTCAAAAGTTCAAAACGAGTTGAAAACGCAGGGTTTTTTGCACATTTTGGCACAAAAGTGCACAATTCTTGTCAATTTCCCAGAGAAATTATCATACTGTATCAGCAAAACTCAAAAAACCCTGTGTTTTTGTGTATTTTCCAGGGGCTCGTTCAAATAGAAGCAATCCCATATCCTATAGTTTCTATTTGATTGGACTGCTTTGAAGTGGAGACCTTGAGAAACATCCAAACTGCAAAACACTGTCTCGTTTGGGTCTCCTTTGTCTTTGCCCAAAATGGAAAACATTGGTCGTGCTCAACCTGCCTTGCAATGCTGCACACTGCACAGTTTAGAGAGGGATCATATTCATTTGTGGTCAAACATTGAGTCAAAAGTTCAAAACGAGTTGAAAACGCATGGTTTTTTGCACATTTTGGCACAAAAGTGTACAATTCTTGTCAATTTCCCAGAGAATTTATCATACTTTATCAGCAAAACTCAAAAAACCCTGTGTTTTTGTATATTTTCCAGGGGCTCGTTCAAATAGAAGCAATCCCATATCCTATAGTTTCTATTTGATTGGACTGCTTTGAAGTGGAGACCTTAGAGAAACATCCAAACTGCAAAACACTGTCTCGTTTGGGTCTCCTTTGTCTTTGCCCAAAATGGAAAACATTGGTCGTGCTCAACCTGCCTTGCAATGCTGCACACTGCACAGTTTAGAGAGGGATCATACTCATTTGTGGTCAAACATTGAGTCAAAAGTTCAAAACGAGTTGAAAACGCATGGTTTTTTGCACATTTTGGCACAAAAGTGTACAATTCTTGTCAATTTCCCAGAGAAATTATCATAGTTTATCAGCAAAACTCAAAAAACCCTGTGTTTTTGCATATTTTCCAGGGGCTCGTTCAGATAGAATCAATTCTTAGCTTTGGACCTTGAAAAACAAATTGCTTCTATTTGAACGGGACTTGGGGGGTTTGCAACGTCCATTTCAAATAGAAGCAGGGCTCTCCGATAATTCCGGCAATTGCTTCTAAAATTGCGTCCCGGAATATACAAACATGTACAAACTGGTCACAGCATTTGCTTGCGACTTGGAGTTCAACTTGGCACACCATTGTGTTTCAATGGTTTCAAATGAACTCAAAGGTAGTTAATGCAAAAATGTGTTGGATGTTGTTGTCTCGAGATTCGCGATAATACCTCTGACCTGTTCATCTTAAAATGAATTTGATGATAAGGCCCACATGGACAAACATGATTCGTCACTGTTATTACAAACAGGCGCTGCGAGGGCGTTCCAAAGTATTTGCGCCTTGAGGAGCGCTGGAGCACTGACACATTTCATCATTGTCTTCAATCAGCCATCATCATGAATTTGTGAACCCTTTCAGGGTTTCACGTGTTTCAATATCTTGATGTCTCTTTGTGAAATATCCCAAATTATCCCAAAGCCCTGCAAAGGCGCCGATTTTTTTCAGGGTCAAAGTTCGCCTCATTACTATGGTGTCTGAGAAGATTGTGTAATTCAAGCACTGATTTCGGCGATGCCTTGGACTCTGCGCATCTCTTATCTCCGTTTTTTGAAAGAGCTGTCCAAGCACAGGACGTTATTAGCTCCACCCCACCCCAAGAAGATCTTATAACGATCAGATGAACGATGCAAAAACAGGAAAGCGCCAGGCGCTCGCGCTCCTAGAGGCGCGGACACCATGAATAATTTAACAATGCTTACAGCAGCTTGTTGTCTGTCCATTGATGCGAAATATATGTCCCAATGACCCAATGAGGTCAAACATCGATTCTGCAGATAGTCTTTGCTTTGTTCTGTTTCCTTTGTGTTCGGCCAAAAGTGGTTCACACCAAGAGAACTATATTCTCTGCGCGCAACGCGTACGCGGCGTACGCGTTGTCAGCCGGAAGTTGGAAAACTGTTTCTGGGAAGATCTTGGAGATTCTTGGAGGGATGTTGTGGAACTTGTCGCCTGAGAATCTCCATTTTTCGGGAGAGGTTTGGGAGTTTGCTCCCACCTGTGTCCTTCAGAAACCTTGTCTTTGCTTGGGATTTCTTGGAAACTTTGAGAAAGGTGGAGACTTTGGGGGTTGGGGAACCTTGGAAATGGGAAACTGGCTGAAACCATCTGAAACCAAAGTCTTCCCAGATCCGTGCTCTAGTCGTGCGCGGTTGCCACGCTAGCAAATCCAGGTGCCAGCTATGCTTGAAACAACAAAAAGCCTAATCAAATAGGGATGAGTCAAAACTGGCTACCCAAGGATTGGGCTGGTTGAATTACTCCCTTCCCCCAAATATCGAATACCCCTCTTAAAACTCTGGTTTAGCACTGGATCTATTCATTGTGGGCTCATTACTATAGTGCTATGAGGATGGAATTATCATGACTTATCCCATTATTAATTCATAAATAGTGCTATCATTTTTTTTGGAGAATCCCATCCTCCATTCATCTGCTTCATTCAAATTGCATCAAATTTCTATTAGTTAAATGACAGCTGCGGTTCCCAGCCTGGATACTCCTCCTTAAGCTCCACATAATGTCCCGCATGCGGAGTCTGCGGCACAGGCGTCTGCGGCACTGGCGTTCTTGGCGTTCCGGGCGTTCCTGGCGTTCCGGGCGTCAACTGGGATCCCCAAAAATGGATCAATGTTTTATAAGGAAAAAAGGAAAAAGAACCAAAATTCATATATTATGTCAATTATGATGTTTTATGATGTGATTTTAGTACATATCGCCCCAATCTGCTTGAAGCAGTTTTGAAATGATCTGCTCAAAGGTCAGTTGAACCTGGAGCACCACCGGGGAATGCTGCAGCAGGCGTCCCTGGGGTAGCGCGTGGAGTGCCTGGAGTCGAACAACTCAGATCTTGCTTGGCTCCAATTCTTTGGTAGTTCCTATTCACAATTGATGTTTAGGGCCTATAGGGACATGTCAGCATGTCCCATTTTTCAGATACACCAATATGATGATAACCATGATGTCAGTTTGTCTTCAAATAATCATTGAACTAGATTAAAATCCCATTGGAAATGTGTTGTACCCCCTATTGGATCCTATTGGGACTTGTAAATGATAGTTGAACTTCGTTAATATCAATTTGGTCACCGAAGTCATACCAAGTTATACCAAGTTATACCCAAAGTTACCCTCCGGTAATTTAACATAGCTATTGAACATTGCCATTTATAGTGGATTTACATGGATTTACCCATTCATAATGGTGATTTTCCATAGCTAGGTTAGTTATACCCAAAGTTATGATGTCAGCTTGTCCTTCTACACCTTTCCCACGCCTGGAGTCCATGGAGCGGGAAAGGCGGCCATGGGCGTCTGAGGAACGATCCCACTGGGCGTGCGCCGCGCTGGAGTGCCTGGAGTGCCAGCAGTGGGAAATATATTACTAGAGCTTACGATCAATGGATTGGATTAAGGGAAAATCTACAGGAAACCATGGTTTTTACCATCAAATATAGGGCTTTCCTGTAATTTTTCCCATAATCCAATTCTACGAAATATATTTACTTAGAAATACTTATTATTAATTCCTATTAGGTATATCTACTTACAGTAATATTACTGTTTGATATATCTAATTACAGTAACATTACTATTAGCTATATCTAATTACAGTAATATTACTATTAGATATGATATGATTGTATGTTATCAATATCTAGCAATTAAGTCTACTGATTACTTTGTTATCTTTATTAGATATTATAAAATATTATGAAATATTATGAATATGACTGTTCATGACTTCCCCAGTTTTGGGGGAGGCATGGGGAGGGCTACAAAAATGCATCTGCTACCATGAGGCTTCTGGAGACCGGACAACCACATGAGATGCGCTTGTGGCACGAAAGCATCGAAAGCTACGTACCTACATTATTGTGTTGCACAGCAGAACAGCAAGGTTCCAAGAAAATTGGGAACTGGTTAGCCTCTTGAATCCAACTTGTGCTGCATTTACGTCGAGGAAAACCCATTGGGGGGGGGCAGTTCTCGAACGAGTCATTGGCCCGATATCTGCCTGGATGGGGTGTTTCTGGCACAATGGCACCAGGCGTGAGATTGCCTGCGAGGCTGACCAATGGCTTTCATTGGTGAACCAAAAGTGGCCACCCAAAGTCCAGCAGTTTGTCATTTTGCCATTAAAGTTACCAGTTTGGGGTATACCCCACGTCAGCAAACTTTCACTGAACATACTGAACATGATTGCAAAGCCACAAAGTCATAGGTGTCATAGAAATTATATGAATTCTGCATTGGTTGCAGCCTCGATTTTCCGGGAAATCGCTGGCACAAAGCCGAGAGAGCAACGTTGATTCCCTGCCTAGTAGATTGGGCGTCGTCGGCTGGTACGCACCTGATCCAAATGGTTGGTGGTTTCACCCCTGCAAAATATCAGCCATTCGGGGTCATAGTCGGTCATAGCATGCAAAAAAAAAACGATGTGATCCATAAATATCCATAAATATCCATAAATATCCATAATAACTGTTTGATAGTTGACCATTGGTCTTAAACTCTTTAAGCACCCAGTTGTCAATGCTGCAGGAGGCTGATGGACACAACGAGTACCAAACCGATGGGCTACTACCGCGAACGAGAGTAACCGGGCGCCCATGTATGTTTGGAGAATGTTATTCAAGAACATTGTACTGTACAACTGTATGCCTGTGTGGTTGCATCTCCTAAAGAGACAATAAAAGTATGCAGGTGTTTTGAGAGATGGAAAATCTTGACACTCAACATCAAGCAGATTGGTTGCACAAGTATTAATAGCTATCAACAGTATTCAATAGTTAACAATTCCTCTGATTAGTAGATATAGGTATAGTATAACAGATTGATATATATATATATATCAATAGTTACAGTATCAATTCCTCCGATTCCCCGTTCATATTGACCGGCTCTGAGGTAGAAACTACGTGCAGGAGAATGCCGAGGAGTTGGTGGCCCTGAACCTTGCCGGCGCAATTTCAGAGCACCCTGTCAAAGGGATTGTGGCTTTTCATGAGATCACACCATGAGCTATTATATAATCAAATTAAGTGCTAGTAATATTATATAATATATTATGATAATATGATTCAGACAAACCCTTCAACATCAAATTGTGCATCAAGTTTGTGCATCTTGAGTTTGGGACGTTCAAAGGCCGCGGCTGGAGTAACTGGCTGAGCACCTGCATGTCTCAGGCTTGCCATCAGGGCACGGCAGAAAGTCTCATCCATCCCATGAACGTGGAGTTGATCCGTTCGGAAAAGCCAAAGCACTGAACAAATACGCCAAAACATCACGATAGTCATGAGATTTCTATAGTCATGCAATCATCACCCCATTACCATCATTACCAGACTGCAGTCAAGTCTCATTAAAAAAACATTAAAAACACCTGGGGCCTTAGTGCCTTAGGGTGTTTCCAGATGTTTCCAGCATCTCACATGGCGGTTCCACCTCTCGCTGGTGTACCCGCCATGGCAGGCGTTTCTGGGACGGTCCGAGTGCTGCCAGGGTTGGACATGAGGCGGTACGGCGTCCGGGCGTTGGCCTGGACAGGCTGTGTGAGGAATCTATCAAGAAATGATCAGTTGCTGTAGAATGTGCAAAAAAAATATATATATATGTATATATGTATATGTATATATATATATAATGAATGGAATGGAATGGAATGGAAAGGAAAGGAAAGGAATGGAATGGAAAGGAATGGAATAGAAAGGAATGGAATGGAATGGAAAGGAATGGAATGGAAAGGAATGGAATGGAATGGACAGGACAGGACAGGACATGACATGAATGAATGAATGAGTGAATGAGTGAATGAGTGAATGAATGAGTGAATGAGTGAATGAATGAGTGAATGAATGAATGAATGAAGGAATGAATGAATGAATGAATGAATGAGTGAATGAGTGAATGAATGAGTGAATGAATGAGTGAATGAATGAGTGAATGAATGAGTGAATGAATGAGTGAATGAATGAGTGAATGAATGAGTGAATGAATGAGTGAATGAATGAATGAATGAATGAATCCTATTTCTGTGCTGCAACATATACACAATTATTATACTAGGTAATTCAAACCTGGACTTTGCATGATTTTGCGGGGTATATAGTTGAGAATTGTTCCAGAAATTGCCTTCACCCATGCCACTGTAAATGTAAATACTCGGATTTCCCACAAGTTCAAGTCATTTCAAGCTGCCAGGGCTCTGGAACCCTCACCTTTCAGTTGTTTGGAAGGCATGGGTCAGATTGGTGTGTTTGACAACTAATGGGCACCACTGGTGAGTTTTCAGCAGCAACGCTGGCCCAGCCTCCCTTGTGAAGTCGTGGTCGGGTGTGCCGACACCCGCAGTTGGCACGACGCTGGCCAGTCCGGCGGGAGTGTTGAGACCAGTTTCTCCCAACGCCATCCTGCCACTGGACCCATTTTGGGCAAAAATGATGGTGAACTTCGGATTGGATTCTACTCATTTTCATACACTTGGGATTGGGATCAACTAAATTCTGAGCAGTACAACAAATACAATGGATTATGATAAGAGGATTTAAAACAGCAAGTCAATGCTGCATGGATTCTTCATCATGTTCGATCATCAACCAAGATTCGAATCCCATCCTTGTCATGAGAAACAACCTCATACAGCCCGCATTTTGAAGAGATTCAATACTAAGCCAGGCCGAAGGGTTTCATCGTACACTGATGGGATTTTGGCGCAGGGTGAAAATGTCAGCCAAATTTTCACGCTAAATAATTCGGTGCAATGGAGATGCTTGGCCGGAACCTTATGGTCTTCTTCCTTCGCTCCCCGGCATCAGGATCTGCATGTCGTCCGCGCTTTTCGACAATCTCCTCATTCTTCACACGCCACTCCTGACAGGATTTGATGTGCTGAAGTTCATGGATATTCAGGCTGGATGGAACAGCTATTAAGTCAGCCCTGAGCATTGGCCGCCTTCCATTGGCCGCCTTCCATTGGCACCTTCTAACATCCTGAGGTCACCAGGATCAATATATGTACATACGTATATTTACCATTTAAGCCCGGGGGTCCCTGGTTACTGGCCAGCAATTAGCCCTGCTCCCTGAAGCAACCCGCTCCTGCTTCACATCCTGGCGCAGCTTGACGGCATTCCGCCATCCTGTGGATTTGAACCACGCGAGGGCCTTCTGCAGGGACGAGAAGTGGCTGCCCAAAAGCCGGAAGCCATCTGCATAAACCTCCAGCAACTCAGCTTTCACCCTTCGTCCCTGCACCGTCCACAACAGGGCGCCATGGCCCACTTGCTTCTCGTGCAACAACAGCTTGTAGTTCAGCATGTTGTTGTCCTCGCTGAATTCTCTCAGAATTTTCTTTACCTGGTTTGCATCTGTCACTCGCCCGTAGCAAGTCTTCAGGCCATAGTGCTTGTGCGCAGCGATCTGCTTCAGGTTGGCGATGATAGGGTCCTGCACTGCTTCAGATCAGAAGGCTTAGTGAAACCACCGTTTAACTTCAGGGGCTGGATTGCTGGATTCAACCCTCTCTATCGGCTACTTGAAATAAGAACCCTAGGGTACCTTGGAATTCTGGCCATTAGTTCTTCTTTACCTTTCCCAAGATTACTTGCTTCCGTTTTTGTGCGTAGGATATGCATTCCTGCAACAGGTGAAGATCTACGCTACCAAAAAGAAAAGTCCAAAAGCTGCGCAAGCTGCGTGTCCAAGTCCAAGAGCTTAGTGGGCTGGATCTAGTTAATCTAGTGATGAAGAACTAACCCCTTAAGAACCCCGCTGGAAAATGATTTATTCAGTTCAAAAATCCAACAGCCCCGCTGATTTGCCTTACTAGAGTTGCCATGTTTGGGGTACACCCCGTTTTCAGACATTGATGTATATCCCACTATATCGTCATTCTATCCCCATGTCCCACTATAAAATACCCATTCACATCCGGGCCCATTCTTCAGCGCTCCATGTGACGAGCGATAACCTCATCAAAGTCGCGGTACATCTTCCCTTCCACCTGACAAGTTCTGCTTGTTTTTGCAAAAGACTGCTGGCCCATTGGTGGCATTTGTCGTTCCACAAAACGCCTCAAGTTTATTGGCAACCTCGAATCCCTCTCCGTAGTTGTGGTCCCTGGCCATCGGACAGCACAAAAAACAGTGCTTGTCAGGGGAAAACTATAAAACCCGCATACACATGCTTGACTTAGTCCTAGTATGTCCTGGTGAAGTGCTAAATCATGCCTATATTCAGATCATACTGCAATCTTGACAGAATTATTTTGTGCTCTAGCCATTTGAAACCTTTCCAATGCCTTTGGGTCTTCAGGTTTTGGGTGTGAATGAGGGCCGTCCAAATCTATGTGCATCATGCGTATCTTGGGTCAAGGCTTTGTTGAACGGTGCTCGAAGACATCGAATTGGCGATAACACCTGCAGGATTAAAGGTCAGTCAACTTCAAGGGAGTTGGCTATGGGTCAAAACATGTCAAGACCCTGGTGTACCCTCAAATAGCTGGTAAATTCCATTGATGTTCATCCCCAAAATTATTGGGACCATGGGTTTAAACCCATGCCCATTTGAGTTTTGAAAAAAAAAAGTGTGGACCCGCTACACCAAAATCATGCGCCGAACACATCTCAGATTTGCCTTTGCCGACTGGTGGAGCACAAAAATATCACGTCCGAAAACAAGGGGACTTCATGGGAGATTAATGTGATACTAATGGGGATGTAATGGTGGATTAATGCCCTTATCTGTTCAAAACTCGCTCACGATTCCTGTCCATTCCCATTCTTTTCCGCCAAAGCGTCCATCAAGTCAGTTGCAGTATATTTCCCACTATCTCAATATAAATTATATCCCATGAATATCCAGTTAAGTCCCCATCCGTATCCCATTCTAATTTCCCAATCAATCCCCATTAATATACGACTGACGTCCCATAAATACCACTAAATATGTTCTTAACACCACACTGGTAAAAATACCATTAATCCCATAAATACCATTAAATACGTCCCATAAATACCATTAAATTCCTATGAATTGGTTGCATATCTGTACATCCCCATGGTCCCCATTTCCGGAGATTCACATCCTGCGCTAAGCACCGGACTTCTCAGGATCTACTTGCTCGCCAAGGCCGCTGCCAATGGGACTTTCGGAGGCCATGGTGGGTTTGACCTGCAGCAGGAGAAGCTCACAATGTAGTTAGTTATATATTATAGTATATTGTATATATTAATAGACGTAGATGATTTATATATATATATATCCATTCATGAGATTATATACTGGTTCTTGTATTGGCATCTCTTAGCCATCACTGTCATGCTTCACTAGAGATGGAAAAGATCTGAAAAGGATAGAAGATATGGAGGCAAAAAGCATTGGAAACAAACAGGAAGCATTTGGTGAAACCCACCAGCTCAGATTTCAACATAGCTTCCCTATGGTTCCCTGTTCACCCCTACCTTCAACATCGCATAGAGGCAATCATAGTGCTTGGAGGATCTGAAGAGGCAAAAGCCTGGCGCAACTGAGAAATGTTCGAAATGCCAATGTTCATCTTGTCCCCGGCGTCCCCTTCGCTGAAAGTTGCCTTCTGAGACCCAAATCTTTCTACCGCTCAACTGCGCCTATCGTTTGCCGATGAATCACTTGGACCACATGCGTGTGATCTCCGACCTGCCGAAAGCCAAGGGGTCGAGTTCTCGACTGGCTGCGGTGGCTGATGTCAAGACTGCATCCTTGATATGCAGCCATCAGTATGAATCTACTGTAAGTTGGGACTAGAAAATCAACATCAATCAAGAAAACATAAGAAAACATAACGGAGCGCCTCAACGATCCCACACAAGTCGTGATAAATCTTCAAATCAAAGTATTTCAAACATGTCAGCGATGCTGTGAAGTGTGGGTGCTTGATGTTGCGGGGTCGACGTACCCAGTCCTTCAAATCCGCTTTCTGTTTCCTGCCAGCGATGCATAACACTCAAAGTGGCCCGACGGCGCTGAAAAAAACTTGTGCGATATGAAGTGTTTTGAAATGTGCGAAATGAGGAATCGGGTCATCTCATACAGGATAAGGTATCTCTACAGTTTTTCCGATGGCTATGGTTACGATGTCAGGCGCCCTATCTGCAAACAAGCCGGGAGAACAGCTCACTGTTGTCCAGTAAGCCCAGGCTGACCTGGCAGTGAATCTTTGTGCCATGGCAGTTCGATGCAGTTCGAATATCCTATTGGGCAACATTTGGCACATCTGCGAAGGAGCCCATTTGATCCCCAAAAATCCACTTCCAAGCTGGGCAGCTTAGCTGCGGCCTTGGTCCAGTCATCACTGCTGCCGGGCAAAAAGTAAGGCAAATCCTCTTCGGAAATTGGGAACTCTTCGAACCACTTGTCCTGTGGCCAAAAAGGCTACGGTGCCTCCATGTGCCTCCCATCTTTGAGGTTACAACGGCTACAATTGGCCCACGCCAAAGAACCATTGATATCTCGATGTTTTCTGCTTAATATTGATATATCCATACATCCACACTATACCATACTATACCTACATTGTCGTGGTGATAGAACAAGTCCTCATCTTGGTCGACAGAGAGCATGACATTGAAGCCATTCCTTCCTGGTCACCGAGAGGCTATTTCCCAAACTAACCTGTGGTGAACCCTTTGCGAAAAATAAAATAAACTGTCTACAGTCAGCAGACATGTTCAGTACATATCAGGTAGCTATGAATACCAATCTTTAATGATCCGGTGATTTAAAAAAAAATGAATTGGCTTAAAAGCTGCAAATGCTGTCGCTCTAGATCCCACATGTTTTACTCTGTCTGTTCGTATGTTTGTGTTTGAGTGTGTATGTGTGTGTGCCTCTGCGAGGAAGTAGACAAATAGACCCAAGAATTCCAAGAATATACCGAATCATGATATATAATCTTCCTTGCACAAATTGATCTCCTGGGAATCGGTACAAGCAGGAAGTCTGAATCTCTCATACCACAGCTACAAGTATCATTCGCTGCATAGGTTTAAGGGAAACCTACAGGAAACCATGGTTTTTACGTGTGTTTATGTACTCCAAACTGTGGAGCTTGCCAATGTATGTGTATATAGATGTATAAATGTTCCATATTTAAATATGTTCTGAAATGGAAACCATTCAGGTCTCATATTCCAGTTATAAACCTTCAACATCTTCAACCAATGGAAACCACCAGCTCGTCCAGCGGCCTGTCGCCACAGAGATGAGTCGGGCCAGGATGGCTTCGCCGGGGCGAAATTGACGGTTACATCCAGCAATATGACCAGCCTTCCTCTTTCCGTCGGTCCTGGTCACTCCGAAGAATTGGCTATTGAACAGATTGAAGATTAAGATAACATAAGCGAAGACTAGCCATGATGACATATAAACATGTTAGATACGTATTATATGTTGTATGATATACTACATATTCAGAATCATATATATATATGTAGTGAACTGTAGCATAGTGAACAGTAGTGATGCAATGGGTCGGCTGCTTTAGACACAACATGACACAACTACTGCGTTTCCACTGTATCCTTGATCAAAACTGAGTCCGGAACCCAAAACCTGATTTGCCCTGAGCATATGCCTGGAGGACTGATGGTCCATGCCATGGCAGGCCCAAAACGAGGGTTTGTCTCCGTTGAAAACCCATAGATTGATGTTTCACGCTCATTTCCACAGTTTTCTGGGTTGACGTCTTTTTTCCACAGTTTTTCCCCTCAGGAAAACCCCAGTCAGATTCATCAACCATGATGGCTTAGCCCGGCTTTGCGTACCCCTCTTATTCCTGCTTAAACATCCCCATGTTAACTGTAGCTGGCCACAATCTAATTGCCGTTTCTGATGGTGCTATGACCATCCCCAATGAATGGGTATTATTCCCGAGAGCGTCTGAGCGAAGGGTTCTTCTAATAGTGGGGGTCTGTCAAACATTTTCACATCTCACATCTTCACATCTTCTCATCTCCACATCTTCACATCCTCACATCCTCGCATCTTCACATCCTCACATCTTCACATCTTCTCATCTTCTCATCTTCACATCACTTCTTCACATCTTCTCACCTTCACATCTTCTCGTCTTCACATCGTCTCATCTTCACATCTTCACATCCTCACATCTTCTCATCGTCACATCTTCTCATCTTCACATCGTCTCATCTTCACATCTTCACATCCTCACATCTTCACATCCTCACATCTTCACATCTTCACATTCTCTCTTGCCCTCTTGCTCTCTTGCCCTCTTGCTCTCTTGCCCTCTTGCTCTCTCCTTCTTTTCTATTTCTCTCTTAAGGCGCGGGGCAGTGCCAACGAGAAGGCACGAAACGCAACCCTTTCGCACGAAACGACGTTCGATCGCCAAAAACTGAAGTAAAATTGCGATTTGGAAGTGTCCGCGGCAACCCTTTCGCACGAAACGAGGCTCGATCGCCAAAAACTGAAGTAAAATTGCGATTTTGACACGAAATTAGGTTCGATCGCCAAATTTAAAACTGAAATAAAATTGCGATTTTGAGTGTGCCGCGGCAACCCTTTCGCACGAAATGAGGTTCGATCGCCAAAAACTGAAGTAAAATTGCGATTTGGAAGTGTCCGCGGCAACCCTTTCGCACGAAACGAGGCTCGATCGCCAAAAACTGAAGTAAAATTGCGATTTTGACACGAAATTAGGTTCGATCGCCAAATTTAAAACTGAAATAAAATTGCGATTTTGAGTGTGCCGCGACAACCCTTTCGCACGAAATGAGGTTCGATCGCCAAGAACTGGGCTAAAATTGCGATTTTGAGTGTGCCGCGGCAACCCTTTCGCACGAAATGAGGTTCGATCGCCAAAAACTGAAGTAAAATTGCGATTTGGAAGTGTCCGCGGCAACCCTTTCGCACGAAACGAGGCTCGATCGCCAAAAACTGAAGTAAAATTGCGATTTGTGTAAAAGCGTCTGTGTGTAAAAGTGTATTTGTGTAAAAGTGTCTGAGCGTAAAAGCGTCTGTGTGTAAAAGGGTCTGTGTGTAAAAGCTTCTGTGTGTGTAAAAGCTTCTCTGTGTAAAAGCGTATGTGTGTAAAAGCGTCTGTGTGTAAAAGGTTGTGTGTGTAAAAGCGTCTGTGTGTAAAAGTGTCTGTGTGCAAAAGCGTCTGTGTGTAAAAGCGTCTGTGTGTAAAAGCGTCTGTGTGTGAAAGCGTCTGTGTGTAAAAGTGTCTGTGTGTAATAAGCTTTTGTGTGTAAAAGCTTCCGTGTGTAAAAGCTTCTGTGTGTACAAGGGTCTGTGTGTAAAAGTCTCTGTGTGTAAAAGTGTTTGTGTGTAAAAGTGTTTGTGCAAAAGCTTCTGTGTGTAAAAGCTTCTGTGTGTAAAAGAGTCTGTGCGTAAAAGGTTCTGTGTGTAAAGGCGTCTGTGTGTAAAAGCGTCAAGTGTAAAAGTCTCTGTGTGCAAAAGTGTTTGTGTGTAAAAGTGTCTGTGTAAAAGCGGCTGTGTGTAAAATCGTCTGTGTGTAAAAGTGTCTGTGTGTAAAAGCTTCTGTGTGTAAAAGCGTCTATGTGTAAAAAGGTCTGTGTGTGAAAGCGTCTGTGTGTAAAAGCTTCTGTGTGTAAAAGTGTTTGTGTGTAAAAGCTTCTGTGTGTAAAAGCTTCTGTGTGTAAAAGCGTCTGTGTGTCAAAGGTTCTGTTTGTAAAAGCGTCTGTGTGTAAAAGTGTCTCTGTGAAAAAGTTTCTGAGCGTAAAAGCGTCTGTGTGTAAAAGGTTCTGTGTGCAAAAGCGTCTGTGTAAAAGTGTCTGTGTGCAAAAGCGTCTGTGTGTAAAAGCGTCTGTGTGTAAAAGCGTCTGTGTGTAAAAGCTTCTGTGTGTGTAAAAGCTTCTATGTGTAAAAGCGTCTGTGTGTAAAATCGTCTGTGTGTAAAAGTGTCTGTGTGTAAAAGCTTCTGTGTGTGTAAAAGCTTCTATGTGTAAAAGCGTCTGTGTGTGAAAGCGTCTGTGTGCAAAAGCGTCTATGTGTAAAAGCGTCTGTGTGTGAAAGCATCTGTGTGTAAAAGTGTATGTGTGTAAAAGCGTCCGTGTGTAAAAGGTTCTGTGTGTAAAAGCATCTGTGTAAAAGTGTCTGTGTGTAAAAGCTTCTCTGTGTAAAAGCGTATGTGTGTAAAAGCGTCAGTGTGTAAAAGGTTCTGTGTGCAAAGGCGTCTGTGTAAAAGTGTCTGTGTGCAAAAGCGTCTGTGTGTAAAAGCGTCTGTGTGTAAAAGCGTCTGTGTGTGAAAGCTTCTGTGTGTAAAAGCTTCTATGTGTAAAAGCGTCTGTGTGTGAAAGAGTCTGTGCGTAAAAGGTTCTGTGTGTAAAGGCGTCTGTGTGTAAAAGCTTCTGTGTGTAAAAGGGTCTGTGTGTAAAAGCGTCTATGTGTGAAAGCGTCTGTGTGTAAAAGTGTATGTGTGTAAAAGCGTC